TGTTCCTGAGACATATTGGCACAGTCTCCTGCTGTCCTGTGTCACCTGTTTGCACAGTCTTCCATTGTCCTGCATCTTGCCCCAGCTGGTCAGAGATGGCTGAGTCCAATCCCTGGCCAGCAAGCACATCCTTGGCTTTGCAGGGATGTGAAACACAGAGGAAGCAAAGATGGCAGAGAGGGTGGGTACCATCCTCAGAGACCTCTGGGGATGCTCCTATCCAGGGCAACTTGTAGGTATGTGTTTCCTATGGCCCAACAGGAAGAGGTCTGGAAGTCCTCAGGATCCAAAGGCAATAAAGAGGTTGATGGGTTGGGCAGTGATGCAAGGTTGCTGTGAGGCCACACCCTGTCCCACTGGTGCCTAAGAAGCAGATTTCTGGAGGATTGCTAGAGGCTGTGTTAGAGTTCTTGACTGGGAGCAGGCACCCAACTCAGACACCATGGGCTGGGTGGGCCAAGGACACCTGAAACGTGTAGAATGTTGTAAGGGCTGCTGCTTTCCCAAAGCCCGCTCTGATCTGCTGCCTCCCCCCTTGTCTCACCCAGACCCACAGCCCTGGCATCAAGACATCCCAGCAACCAGAGGGGGTGCCCTCGCTGGGAGGAGGAATCTATGGTCTGGGTGGATCCCCTCTCGAAGTCTTCTCCCCAGGAGTGCCCCACCCACAGTGATGGATGATGAAGGGAGAAGCATTCTGGCAATGCTGAGAAGGTAGATAGGTTTAGACCCCACCCATGGACACCTGGCCTCACCCGTGCCCATGAGGAACCCTGCAAGGGAGACAGTTCAAGGCAGTCACTGAAGGATCTAGCCATGGAATCACCATGTAGCAGCCTTCATGACTACCAGCTGGGTCCAGACTTCTCCCTGCCATACTCCTGGGAGCTGTCTAGAGACAAAGGTGAGCATCTCCATTCCCTGGACACCCAGTGCCTGGACTGGTTGCTAAAGGGCAACAAGAGAGATCTCTGAGCAACTGGTGGTTAATGCCCAAACACCAGAGCCCACACGGGTGGCAGAGAGGGTTAGTGGCCAGCATGCCAGGAAATGTAGAATTTGGCAACTTCAGGCTTTGGGCTAGCCCTACTGCCTCCATGGCAGAGTTAGAAGCAGGCACATTTGGAGTCTGACCCACTGGGTGCAAACTCCTATCTACCTAGGTTATGGTCCTAGGGTATAGTGTCCTGCCTGGGACTCAGTTTCCCTGTCTCTACAGTGAAAGTGAGTATATGAGCAAGAGCTGCGTCTGATGCCTGGGGGACTCTGGCTGAGTCAGGGGAGTATAGGCATCCTCAACCTTGGCAGTCTCTTTTTTCCCCCATCTGTCACTGAGAAGTCCACATACTTCTCACATATTCAGGGGCCATGTTGAGCCCATCTAAGCTGCCTGCAGTTAGTCACTGAGCTCCCATTGCATGCCAGGTCCCACTCAGAGGCTGTATCACATGTGTGAGTGTATGTGTGTGTGTGTGTTTTATATGTATGTGTTCATGTGGATGCATGCATATGCATGTGCTTGTGTACATGTGTGTGGAGGCCAACATCAGGTGTCTTCATCAATCTCTCTCTCACACTTTCTCGTTTGTTTTTTGTTTTTTGAGACAGGGTTTCTCTGTGTAGCTCTGGCTGTCCTGGAAGTCACTCTGTAGACCAGGCTGGCCTTGAACTCGCAGAGATCCACCTGCCTCTGCATCCCGAGAGCTGGGATTAAAGGCATTCGCTATCGCCGCCACCGGCTCTACCTCACTTTTGAGACAGAGTCTCTCACTGAACCTGGAGTCCATCACCTTGGGTAGGCTGGCTGTCCAATGAGTCCCCCGGATCTGCTTATGTCTGTCTTCCCCAGAACTATGGTTACAGATGCACTCAGCGCTCTTCTGTGGGGTCTGGAGATCCGAACTCAGGTCCTCATGCTTGCTGAGAGACTTTACCCACTGAGCCATCCCAGCCCTCTCTTGGCACTCCAACTTCACATGGGGCAATAGCATGACCAGGAGAGCTAAGAGTTAAACAGCAATGTGGGAGGACTAGGGCTAGACAGGACCAGGGCTCTCACAGGCGGCCATATCAGGTCTCATAGGAAGAGCCCTGCCAATGCCCCAGCACAGGCAACAACACGTGCAAAGGCCCTGAGGCAGCAGGAGGCCAGCTGTTCCTGCAGGCTGGCAGATAGAGCACGCACTTGGGGTGGGGGAATGACAGCAGGGGAAAAAAAGGGTAAAGTGTGGCGGCGGGGCCAGGAGCCACAGGCAGCATCCAACACTTCTTTTTTTTTTTTTTTTTTTTTTTTTTGGTTTTTCGAGACAGGGTTTCTCTGTATTGTTTTGGAGGCTGTCCTGAGCATCCAACACTTCTGATCCCAGAAGCAACATTCAGTACATCCAATCTGCCTCCCCACATGCCACGCCCCCATGAGGCTGGCACTCAGGACATGTGGCCGCAGTGCCTGGTATGTGAACCCCAGCTGGCCCTCTCACTCACTGTGTGACTTCAAGCAGGTCCCTCTCTGTGCCTCAGTTGGCACCATGCAAGATGAATTACGATTCCGACGCCCGGCCCAGCCTGTCCTGCATCCAGCTGTCTTGGAGGCTGACCTCCTTTCCTTGGGGATGAAGCCAGTGCTCCGGGCATCGAGGGGATGGTGCGCCAGGTGAGACGGGCGGTGGGCTGAGTGCTGACACAGCGGCTGGGCTTTGCCCTCTCCATGCTCTCCATGGTTCTACACCTTTCCTTCAAAGGGAGCTGCAGATGGCTGTGAGCCATTTGCTGGGAATCAGACCGGGATCCTCTCAAGAGCAACAAGTGCTCACAACCTCTGAGCCGTCTCTCCAGCCCTGTTACACCATCTCCTGTGCACGTGGATCTAGGAGTTTCTTCTGATGTCCTGAAATGTCACCTTTAGGATTTATAATAACCAAGAAAGGAAAAATGTGCCCGACTGTGAGGGTATTTCCAGAAAGGACTGGCTAAGCAGGGTGGGCCAGGGAGGGCCCACGGAGGGCCCACCCACCCTCAACATGGGATCCAGGACTGAACAATAATAATAATAATAATAATAATGATGATGATGATGATGATGATAATGAAATCGAGCTGAACAAGCAGCAGCACCCATCGCTCTCTGTTACTTGACTGCGGATGCCATGTGACCAGCTGCCATGCCCCTGCTGCCACGCCTTCCCTACCCTGAAGGACCATATCCTCTCACTGTAAGCCCCACCCCCAATCCCTTCCTTCCTTTAGTTGACTTTGTCAGAGCAAAGGAAAAGGTAAATGATACAGAAAATTGGTACCAAGGAGTAGGGTTATTGCTGTGATAAACCTGACCATGTGGCTCTTGGGGCTTTGGAATGAGCCCGCAAGAGGAAAGTGAGTGTCAGAATTCAGAGCTGCAGGCTAGAGGACAAGCCCTAGAATTCTCCATGTAAATAGAGCTTTCTGGTAGGAGTTTAGAGGCCCAGAATTCAGAGAGAAGATGAGGGGGCCTGGCTCATGAGATTTCAGAGGGAAACAAGGACTCTCTAGGGACTGGGCTGTGGGCCATGTGTGTGATATTCTGGCAGAGAATCTGGCTGAAGTCTATTCATGTTCCAAAAGCTGGAATAGGGCTGAATTCAAAGGGGATGGGCTAGTTCCTTTGGTGGAGGATGTTTCAAGACAGGATAGAATTTGGCCTGTGGCATGGTCACTGTTTTCTCTTTTGAGTCTATATTAAAACAAAGCAGAAACTGGAGCAGAAAAATAAGAAAAGTGTGCAGCTTGGTGAGCAGACAAGTGTGAGGGCCTGTGAGGTCCATGCGAGGCCTTGCTGGGAAAGTAGCTGTCATTGTTAAAGACATTAACACCCTTAAAGAGAAACCCCAGCTTAGCACCAAGACAATGGGGAAGAGCCATTTGTAGACCACAAATCTGTTTGAAAGGAGAGAGCCTGGCCTGTGAATGCCACTGAGGTTTCCTGCTTGAAAACAACCACCTAGAGAAGTGTTTCCTCCGATTAGGCCACCCTGGTACACCTGAGTCACCACAGCTGGGGTCGAAGGGAGCCAGACTGCATCTGGAGCCGGAAGCAGAACTTAGTGCTGGTTATAGGCATGCAAGATGCAAGAGTTTCAGTGTTTGGGAGGCTTGCACTAGAGTCCTAGAAGGCAGCTTGAGGCCAGACAATGTGTGATGTGGTCAGATTCTCTTCAAATGAAGAGATTTGAAAGACCCCTGTGTGAAGCCCTGAAGGTAGAGCGTAGAGTCGCAACTCTAGGATATGGAAGGTGCCAGGTCCATGAGATGCCTCTTGAGGAAAGCTGCAGGTATGGGGTGGAACTGAGCGAAAACACGGGCTGCAGGAAGCAGAAGGGGAGGGGAGGGGATACCCAAGGCTGTTGAAGCCTAGATGATGCCATTGTAGCCCATGTGCTGGATCGAGATTTGATGTTTAGCTTGCTGGGTTACAGTTTTGCTTTGATTCAATTTTACTTGGTTGTGCCTGTAATCCTCAGTTTTGAAGACTTTTGTGTGTGTGTGTGTGTGTGTGTGTGTTTTCTCACATGCATGTGGGTACCTACAGAGGTCAAAAAAGGGCATCAGATCCCTTGGAACTAAAGTTATGGCGAGCTGTAAATCACTTGACTGGTGCTGGAAACAGCTGTGGTCCCTTTGTAAGAGCAGTGAGCACTCTAATCGTTGAGTCTCCTTTTGAGTCCCACGCTCACTTTTGAAATGGGAACACTTACTCTGTACCATTGTGTGTCAGAAGTATGTGTGCATTGTTTATTTCAAGGGCCTCGAAGTTAAGAGGCTGCCTGAGACTCAGCAGACTCCACCCTTACACCCTGGGAAAGGGAAGAGTCTGCAAAGGCACGAGGCTTCCAAGGGTGGGTGTTGAGGTTTAAAAGTGATGTATCTGAGTACCAAGTCCACAAGGGTTGTGGACTTGTGATGGTTGGTGTTGCCAGCCTGGAAGGGTTCAGTATCACCATGATGACAAAATTCAGACCATGCCATTTGAGTGTTTCCAGAAAGGTTTAATTGAGAAGAAGAAGAAAAAAAAACAAAAACAAAACGACCCTGAAGGTGAGCAGCAGCATCCTATGGCTTAGGGCCCCGGATGAACAAAAAGGAGGAGGTGGGTGGAGCCCGGTGTTTGTCCCTTTCTGTTCTCCCACCGTGGATGGAATGCGGCCAGCACTCCTGCTACCACGTTTCCCTTCGAGACAGACTGTACCCTCAGACCGTGAGCCAAGCAAACCCTTTCTTCCGTACGTTGCTCTCGTCCAATGTTTTGTCACCGCAACAAGCAAAGTAACTTGTGTACCTTTCCGCTCAGGTAGCATCAGGGCCCCCAAGCTGCCAGCTGACTAGTCCACATCCTGGGGGCAGGATACACAGGCATCCTCCTAGGGCTCTGATTCCTCAGAGGATGGGCACTCGGAATCCTTGAAATGCAAAGGCCAGAACTTTTACAAGCAGGGGGAAGCAGCGGAGGATGGCAAAGAGGCTGAAGACTTGTGTCCGTCTGGTGTGTCTGCCATGCCGTGTGCAGAGCCAAGGAAGGCGCCTCCTTCCTGTTGTCCCAGGTGGGCCACCTTCACCACTGCCCCATCCAGGAATGGGTCGGATGGACTTTGCTACGTTTCCTTGGTAGTAGCTAAAAGGCCTCATCCCTCCCGGTGTAGAAGTGCTCTGCTTGTTTTGCAGTTTCCTTGGGGTGATTTGGGACCATTCAGCATGGTGAGGGCAAGGCAGGGGACCAGGGGTTTGCAGGCAATCCCGAGGCAGCCTATGCCCAGTCCCGCTGGCTCTTACATAGACTCAGCCGTGCTCTGACACCTCCCCTGTCCCCTTGTATCCTGTCCACGTCACTTCTGCTCCCACCCACTTTACTTTTACCGCCATCCTACCGCACCTGGGCCCCCATCTCACGTGAGGCCCCGCCTCATCTGCGCCTCCCAATGTTACCTATAACCGGCACTCATTTCTGGCTCTACATTCCTTCTCCCGTCCAGGTAGCTGGCCTGATGCCTGCCTAGCTGTCTCCACACAGCACTGTGCTGATGTTAGAGGGCGGGAATGCTGAAGGACCAGAGCTCCATCATTGTTCCCTAAAGTTCCTACTCCTCGAGAGGCAACACCCTGAGCCCCATGACCTTTGTCACACCGCCACAAACCTGACTGCCAGCATCCCCACCCTGCCGTATGGCTTAGCTCCTCACCCACTCACTACGGCATCTGGGAGACAGAGCTGCTCTCCCAGACAAGTGTGTGGTCCATGCCGTTTTGTTACCTTTATCTGCCATCCCTCTTCTAGCCACCTGCCTTGAGGGAGAATCCTGTGAAGAGTGGATTTGAAGGTCTTGAGGCTGACGGCCAGCATTTATTTATCCTGACAAGCATGGCACCTGCCCACAGAGCAGCCAGCCTGAAACTTCATAAGCCTGCCACCCAGGGGTGAGAGCCGGCCTCCCCACAGTCTCTGAGTGTGGATGCTTTGGGAGGGTAGGATAAGAAGGCCCTCCCTCCTTTCCCTTCAAGGGCTCTGCAGAAATAGCAGATGAGCAATGCTTCTGGAGAGGACAGAGTGTGTAAGTGAAGCCCAGAGGGGTGCACCCAGGTCACGATCTAGCTCACATAGTGGATACAGGTCAGGCTCCAGACATCTCTGCCGTCCCCAGAGTGACATCACACCAGGTTAGACATGATCACCCCTGGGCAGTGCCCACCTGGCCTCCTTGTGCCTTTGAGGGCTGGCATCACCAGCCAAGCCTGCTCAGATGCCATTTGCTTTGTAGTGGCCATGCCCCCCCTGCTCTGGTCACAATGAAGGGGCTAGAGTCAGAAGCCCGACCCTTGTCTAAGACTTGTCGAGTGATCTTGGACCCACTGCTAGTCTTCTGTGGGCCATCATTCATCCTCAGTGGTTCCAGGAGTCCCTCATTCCTTCATGTGACTTTTAAGGTTAGCCAAAAAGAACACGGTAGCGGGAAGGACAGTAGGAGGCCCAGCTCATGGAGTGCTGGTGCTTGCAGAGGCTTGGGGCTGCGAGGCACCTGGTCTGTCCCCAGCTGTGTCCCCACAGCCAGCTGTGCTCAGAGCTTCCAGCCAACACTGCTGAAGCTTTGTGGAGGGGGCACTCAGCCACCAGGTCTGCGGGCCCTGATGCAGCTTCCACACACACCCCGCCTCCAGCCCTACTTCAGAGTCAGGCACCGTTACAGTACAGCCAGACAGTGGGATGGTATGCAGCAGTCTTCCAGCCTGCAGCAGAGACAGAGGGTTAGCAGGCCTCCAGCTCATGCCAGTGGCCACCCGAGCAGGCCTCTGTGTGCAGGTCCACTGGCGTAACCTGTCACCAGGTCAACTGAGTACAGGCTGCCTGACGGACTTTCAGGTAGTTGCTGGGATGAGGTTTTGGCTGCTTCAACATACCTCCCTCGGAACCCCTGCCCATGGGTAGGTGAGGCAGGATAACTCCTATGACTTAGCAACGGGAGTTGAGAGTAGCAGAACAAGGCTCAGCAGTGCCTAGATGCATCTGCCCAAGATGTATGAGTGAACGAAGTCATGAGTGAGTATGTGTGGGGAGGAGGGGCCAGCCTCTGTGTCCCTTGACTATGCCTGCCCCCACCCCAGCTGTCTTTGGCATTTTGACAATACAGGGACATGTTTTCCATGAGAGGGGAGCAGAGGGTTATTCTGGGCATTGGGAGAAGTTGAGGGGCAGGTCACATGACTGGGCCTGCCATGGGCACTTGAGGCTTGAGGCTCTGTACTGTGGTAGCAGAGCACATCTCACAGCACATAGCCCTGGGCGTGAAAAGGGACAGGGACACGTACCTGCCTGCCTGCCAGCAGGACTAGCACCTGGGGATCTGACTCAGGGATGTCTGCCCAAACTTCACTCCAGGCTGTACCATTGTCGGACAGACGCAGAGTGCTACAGACCAGGCTAGGCCGAGGATCCACAGAAGGAGGCTTCTGGAGACAGAACAATAGGTTGGGGCTAGTCTCACCTGTAGTGATCTCTTTGTCCCCTGAGGAGACTGGGCCTGAACCAGGGCCTATGCTTGGAAGGAGGTGACCACATAGACACAGCTAAGGCCTGGATACAGGCTGAGGCAGTGTTATGTGGTTCTGAGGGTCACTGGAGGCCAGAGGGAGGGTGGCATGTGGTATCAAGTAGGGTTTGGAGCTGGGCCCTCTTGGAAGAGTGAGCCCATTCCAGGTTAGGACAACACAGGGAAGCCAGGCACTCAGGAGGCTGAGGCAGGAGGATTGTAAGTCTCAGGCTAGCCTGGGCGACATAATAAATAAATGGAGGGCCGGGCGATGGTGGCGCACGCCTTTAATCCCAGCACTCGGGAGGCAGAGGCAGGCGGATCTCTGTGAGTTCGAGGCCGGGCTGGACCGACAGCCTCCGAAACAATACAGAGAAACCCTGTCTCGTAAAAACAAAATAAATAAATAAATAAATAAATAAATGGAGGAAATTCAACAGTAAGTACAAGAGTATGGGTCACAGGGCAAAGGGACTAAACACTTTATACCCTTCACCACACACTCACCACATAAACACACACTTTCCACGTGACACACGCGTGCGCACACATACCTCACATACACCTCCTGGGAGACTCTGCTTCCCTTTTGATGTTTCAGTGCTATCATGGAAACAAGACCCCTGAGTCACATGGACCTGGTTCTGACCATCAAGGCTACCATAGTTTCAGTCCTTAACAGCTGTTTGTCCTTGACTTCCTAGACAGCCAAAGCTCTTGCCATCTTGGCTGCACGCAGGGTGGCAGGAGCTTTGAGAGTTGCGGACCCTAGCCCTCTCGGACCATCTCACGCCATCTTTGGGAAGCAGACTGACATTTGAGAGAACCCCCAGGAGACCACAAGTGGAGACAAAGGAGAATGTGTTTTCCCTGGAAAACAAAGGGATCCTTTTCAGAGATGTCCTGCTCCTCCATAAAAGGGACTGTGTCCTTTAAGAAAGAAGGCTGGAAAAGTAACAGCCACACTCAGGAAGAAGATGTGGTAATGGAGGAGGAGCTGACAACCTTCCTATAATCCTACCCCATCATTAACCACCAGCATGCATGCACGTGCACATGCACACGCGCGTTGACACACACACACACACACACACACACACACACACACACACACACACGCTCAGGCACACGCACTCACGCACTTTTACCTGCCCTAAAGTGAAGGAGGTGCTCCATGAACCTCAGTGCCTAGATCGGGGCAGTTTCACGCTGTGCCTCCAGTCAGGCCAGGAACGGAGCTGACACACATTTCCGTCTAACTCCTGGCCCTGACTAGTCCTGAGATGGCTTTAGACACACACCTGCTCCAAGCATCTTTCTCTGATTCCAGACCTGTGGACCACACTGAGATGCCCCCTGCATCCGTCCTGGTCCCAGGAACCAGGGACACCCACCTCTGCATTCTGTTTGAGTTCTGTGCAAGTCTCAGAGCTAGGGCTTGCAGGGACCAAGGATTCTTCCAGGAAACACTCTCGGCAGACCCGGCTCTGCTTACTGTTCTCAGCCTTGAATTCTGAGCACTTCCTACAGATGACCTGCAAGACAAGAGGGTGCCTTTGACCATGCATACATCCTGAGCAGAGGTGGGGGGAAGATCTGTAGAGGAGGTGGGGATGATGCTTGTCCTGGAATGCTGGAAGCCACATCTAAGGGCAGAGTGTGGTGATACCTTGCTTATACTCTAACAAATAAAGCTTGCCTGAAGAGCAGAGGGCAGAGCTAGCCACCAGCTAACCATAGAGGTCTGGAGGTCTGTGCAGACAGATAGGAAGTGAGATGGCTGGGCAGAGAGGAATATAGGCAGAATGAGACAGGAACTCACTTTCTCTTCAGTCTGAGGATTCCATAGAGATAAGAGCTCTAGTGTTTGCTGCTCTGCTTCTCTGATCTTTCAGCTTTCACCCCCTAATATCTGACTCCAGGCTTTTCTTACTAAGGCCTATTAGAACTTGTGTTATAGCAGAGAGTGACTTTAATATCCGAGTGCCCAGCCCATTCCTGTCTTAATAGAGACCACAGACTCCAATTGTCTCCCAGGCGCTCCTATATCAATTGCAATCACTGAAACCCACTGCAAAGCTTCCAGGAGAACCAGGTTCCTCCTAGTCTTGATGACATCTTCCAGCCCATGCACTTGGGCTGGATCCCCAGCCTACAGGCTATCCTGTACTCTCCAAATTCCTCTTGTACTCATCCACTCACCCATCCAATCTCCTCTCCATCTATCATGTATTAACCCACTCATCAACCCACCCATCCATATCTGTCTACCTAGCCACTGAACATTCACCTACCATTTGCTATCAATCCGCCCACCCACTCACCCATCCACTGACCATCTGTCTACCTTCTATCCATCAATCTACTATACATCCATTGTTTAGATATTAATTTATACACCATCCACTGTACACCCATCACATGCCCATCTATCTATCTATCTATCTATCTATCTATCTATCTATCATCCATCCATCCATCTATCTATCATCTAGTTATCATCTATCATCTATTTATCATCTATCTATCATCTATTTCTCATCTATCTATCTATCATCTATCTATCTATCTATCTATCTATCTATCTATCTATCTATCTTCCATCCAAAGATTCATTATTTTATTCCTCCCTCTCCCCATTTCCAGTCAGTATGGTGAAATTTTGTGAAACTGTAAAATCAGAGAACACCAGTCTTCAAGTCAGTCTGTGAGATACATAGGCTGTCTCTTTCTCCCTCCCTCCCTCCCTCCCTCCCTCCCTCCCTCCCTCCCTCCCTCCCTCCCTCCCTCCCTCCCTCTCCTCCCATTTCAATCCCTCCCCGCAGGTGCAGCTTTGATATCTAAGTGTAAACATGCTTAGGTCATCAGCTCCTTCTCCAAGGACACTTTGCAGTTCAGTAAGTATTGATTCATTTGCTCATTGTCAGGAGCAGGGCCTTTGGGCTTCAGTGGGGAGGACTGGAGCTGGTATATTTTGCGGACACTGATCAGTGGTAGCCCCTGCTTGCACGATCCCGTCAGACATTCCTCACCGTTGGAGCACTCCCACCATGGCCAAGCCCTCCACCTTCTCCTGCCTGGACACCTTGCATAAGGTTACATCATCTCTCTATCTATCACAGGATGGAAACATTATGTCTTACTCACTCCCAGTTGGGGCACCGAGGCACACGGCCAGCAGTTTTCCAGCTGGAAGGAATGTTGTCAGACATCAGAACTGCCCAGAAATTAGCTTTCCCTTCAGAGGTTCATGCTCAAGGACGTCTATGTCTAGGGGACAGTGCCCTGGTTTAAATCTAAAATGTCCCACTCAGGCTCATGTATGGGAACAGCTGGTGCTGCTTTGGAAGACTGCAGAAAACATCGTTAGAGGAAGTGAGTCGCTAGGGGTGGGGTCTAATGTTTGATAGCCCATCCCCACTTCCTGTCCACTTCCTGCTTCCTGACTGCAGATACAACATGGCCAGGTACTTCCCACCCCCAATTGCCATGCCTTCCCTGCAACAATGGATTGTGTACCCTCAAACTAAGTTGCTTCCTGTCAGGTGTCCCATGACCCAGCAACGAGAAAAGTGTCACGCAGGAGGCAGCCCTGCAGAGCTGCCCTGTGGCTCAGAGCTCACTAGCAGTGCACGTGACAACTCTTAAGAAGCACGTGCCACCCTGCTCGTGGTGGCTGCTGCCCAGCCATTAGAACCTGTAAAGACCCAGTGAGTGGCCACCCGGCCCTGTCCGATCCACCCTCCTCCCTGACTTGTCCCATGCTCACCTGTCCACACAGCTTGCAGCGATGCCTCCTCTTGGTGAAGGAGTTGAAGGTCTCACCACAGCTCTTACACCCAGGCTTTTCTTTGTCACGTCTTGTTTTAGAGGACAACTTTTTGGACTCCACCTACAAGGAGGCAAGTGGCCATCATCAGCTGTGAGTGTGAGCACATGATGGTCCACTGTGGGTGTGTGAGGGAGTGTGAGCACATGATGGCCCACTGTGGAGTGTGAGCACATGATGGTCCACTGTGGAGTGTGAGCACATGATGGTCCACTGTGGAGTGTGAGCACATGATGGTCCACTGTGGAGTGTGTGGAGTGTGAGCACATGATGGTCCACTGTGGGTGTGGAGTGTGAGCACATGATGGTCCACTGTGGAGTGTGTGGAGTGTGAGCACATGATGGTCCACTGTGGGTGTGGAGTGTGAGCACATGATGGTCCACTGTGTGTGTGTGGAGTGTGAGCACATGATGGTCCACTGTGGGTGTGGAGTGTGAGCACATGATGGTCCACTGTGGGTGTGGAGTGTGAGCACATGATGGTCCACTGTGGAGTGTGAGCACATGATGGCCCACTGTGGAGTGTGAGCACATGATGGTCCACTGTGTATGTGTGGAGTGTGAGCACATGATGGTCCACTGTGGGAGTGTGAGCACATGATGGACCACTGTGTGTGTGGAGTGTGAGCACATGATGATCCACTGTGTGTGTGGAGTGTGAGCACATGATGGTCCACTGTGGAGTGTGAGCACATGATGGTCCACTGTGGAGTGTGTGGAGTGTGAGCACATGATGGTCCACTGTGGGTGTGCAGTGTGAGCACATGATGGTCCACTGTGGGAGTGTGAGCACATAATGGTCCACTGTGCGTGTGTGGAGTGTGAGCACATGATGGTCCACTGTGTGTGTGTGGAGTGTGAGCACATGATGGTCCACTGTGGAGTGTGAGCACATGATGGTCCACTGTGGGAGTGTGAGCACATGATGGTCCACTGTGGAGTGTGAGCACATGATGGTCCACTGTGGGAGTGTGAGCACATGATGGTCCACTGTGGGTGGGGGGGGGGGAGGAGAGGGGCGGTTAGCTAGGGATTCTGCAAGTGACAATGCCCAGAGCAAGAGTGGACATTGCAGAAGGGAACAGGCAGAGCTAAAGCAGCTGCACCCCTTCCCAGGGACCACGCCAGGGCATCATGTGTCACTCCACACACTGCCTGAAGCAAGGTGCCAAGAGGTCAAGACAGCCTGGTCAGTGGCTTTACCTGGTCTGAGAAAATACTGTGAGGCAAAACGGAGCAAAGTGGTGTGGACAGGAGTCTACACAGACGGCACCTGCTGCCAGAGCCTGGGGAGTCCTTGACTGCAGCCCAGAGGGATCCTGTGACCCCTAAAGTGGTGTGGACAGGAGTCTACACAGACGGCACCTGCTGCCAGAGCCTGGGGAGTCCTTGACTGCAGCCCAGAGGGATCCTGTGACCCCTAAATCCTGAGGGTCATCCTTCACCCTGTCACAGGCCTAGTCTGTGTTGAACACTTGGCGACAGGCTCACCCTATGCATAAATGTACATGTGTATGCACAGGCCTCCTATGCATAAACATACATGTGTGTTCACATGCCTCTTATGCATAAACATACATGTGTGTGTACAAGCCTCCTGTGCATAAACATACATGTGTGTGCACATGCCTCCTATGCATAAACATACACGTGTGTGCACCTGCCTGTGTGCCAGTCCTGCAGAAACAGGTCTTGTGAGGAAACCAAAGCAGCTGAGGTGGTGTTCAGACCTGACCTCTCGCTGTGTCTCCTGAAGCACCGCCGCCCTCCATTTTGTGAGTCCTTGCTCCAAGGACAGAGGTGGAAGATGGCCTTGGCCTCCTCCCTTTGCAGTATACCTTGTTCTCAGGCCCACTGTCAAGGCTTTCTGCCCAGTGGGCCGGCATTCCAGACCTGACATGCAAAACCCTCGCTCCCAAGGGCTGAGTCCTCCTGCATCTGGAAGTGTCCCCCTCACCTAGCCCTGTGTAAGACTCCCATTGTGGCCTCCTGTAGGGGCCACTGAAGGGTCCAAGTGGTCACTGAGAGGGGGGGGCGCCTGGGGCGGGAAAGACACAGCGGAGAGAGGACAGCCCATCCTCGGTTGTGCTGTAGTCCTGCAGCCTCCGCCCTCTGCCCACAGTCAAGATGCCCATACCCCTATTTTTCCTGTGAGGAATCTAAATGCCAAGGTGGTGGGATTAGTTGCTGGCCAAGTAGTCCTGGCTTGTGCTGGCTCTCAGGGACCTCAGACAGAGGCCCCAGCTGTTAGTCTGACAAGGTAGTTGAGAATGCAGGAGGCTCTGGGGGTCACTAGGGTACCCTAGTAGGACACCTGGTGATGGAGGGAAAGCCGAGGTGAGCTGGGGTATGACCAATGGGAAAGGGAAGTTCCTGAAGCAGGGCTTTAAGACTCAGCGACTGATTAGAAGACAGAAGCCCCTCAGCTTCTTTTACTCGATAGTAAGCATCACTTGACCAAGACAGAGCTGCCAAAATGTGTGCCAGACAGGGGCTTTTAGCCCCACATGGATCCCATGATGCTGAGGTCCACTGTGGCCCAACCTTCTTGTGACTGGCTCTCCAATCGTGCCGTCCACAACACAAGAGGCCTGATTGGATTTGTGGATCACGGAGGATCAGGGAGCCAAGGCATGAACACTTGGCGACAGGTTACATGTGTAACCAAGGGCAGGTCTCCCAACCAAGTACACTTCCTTCATGGATGAGATCATCAGGCAGGGCTGACCAAAGGATCCCGGGCCACATTTCCTGTATAGTGGGGCATGACAGGAAGTCTAGGTTCAAGACTGCCAGGAAGTAACTGACAAAGCAGTTCTAGTCAAAAGCATCTACAATATCCACCCTGAAGCTGTTCTCCCCTAAGGGTCAATAGAGTGATTTAATTTAGCTTGGTGGCTTAAGGGACCTCCCAGTAAGACAGATGTGACCCCTAGTCGGTGGCCTATATCAAGTCATAAAATGACCCAGCAGTCCACTGGGACACAGGTTAAGGACATCAGGTCCTGCTGGGCTCAGCTGAAACCAAGCCTGGTCCCTCTGCTCCTCTAATGGCATGTCTGTTCTGGAGCCTAACTACAGGTACAGAATGGGGCTTTATGGAGAAAAGGCAGGCCCAGTGTCACTGGGAAGCCATTGGTTTGTGGGTGATCAGAGACAGTGCTTTGATGGCATCTTGGACAGGTCTGTGTTACTCAGAGTAGTTATGGAGCTCTGAAGAGGGACTTTCAGACTATGAGTGAGTGTGTGTGCATATGTGTGCATGTGTGTGTGTGTGTGTGTGTGAGTGCATGTGTGCGTGCCTGCTTCTGTTGTGAGCAACTGGACTTTTAACAGAATGAGGAAGCCTTTGAATTCTGCAAGGTGCTTGCGAAACTTCCTGGATAGGGTTTGGCTTCTCTTAGTAAAGAGGGACTGACAGAGAATGTGCGTTGGAAGACACCTAGGCACAGGACACAAGCCCAGTATAGTGGAGGAATTTGTTTTCCTCTCCAAACATGCCAAGAAGCAGTAAAGTCTGGCACCCACAGCCAAAGCCCTTCTGATTAAAAATGAAACCTTGCTATTGAGCATCTTGTAGGCTTCCTCTGTGGTATCGTGTTGTTCAGTGCAGGTCCACAGATGCCTCCCACCCATGCTGAGCTCACCAAAATCTCAGCTCAGTTCGGCTCAGCTCAGTTATGCTCAGTGGAGGAATGGAAGGAGCAGCCCATGGCCATATCTACTGGAGTATCTGCTGTTGTGGACCTGTTTGTTGGAGAAGGGCTGGCCTCAGCTTGGTTTGGTGAGGAGAAAGGGACAGGGACATCAGAACTGGACACTGGGCTGCTGTGGGGTGAATGTTGTGAACCTGTAAAAGGCTCTGTCCTGGCACAGAAGCAGGAAAAGTAAGCGGGACAGACCAGGCATGAAGTATGGCCTGGTGCCCAGCAGTTGTGGTGACCACGTCCTGGATATGGCTTGAGGCCTTAACACTGGGGCTCCAAGCTGTCTCTTCCCAATCAAAGGGCATGGGCAGCTGACAAGAGCAGCCTGTCTTAGATACCCCCAGAGCGTCCCCATCACTCTCTCAGAAGACGGTAAGGCTGGAGTAGGCAACACCTACCCGAGGCTTCAATCCAGATCCAGCTCTACCTCGGTCCAGCTGCACATTCCTAATCTAGGCACTGTCCTCACTTAGCCCCAGCTGTGAGACATCTCACTTGCAGAGCAGCACAGCTAATGTCCTCAGGACAGTCCCAGGCACCCTTGTTCCTATAAACAGTGCCCATCCCCACCCTGAACCTCTGCCTGCCTGCAACTCCTGGGCATGTGGACTCAGCCCTGGCAGTTGCATGAACAAAGGACTGGTGGGTTTCCTGGGCCTGAAAGCCTTAGCCATGAGCTGGTCACCAGCAATGCTTCCACAAGCCCACCCCAGGGCTGAGGACAGAGTCCAGGGCATCATCAGGGAGATGGTCATGGGTACCCCTCCTGGCCAAAAGATGTGGCTTGGGAGTATTTCAGACTATGGGTTCATGCTGACTTGACCAGGTAACCGTGTGTCCCTCTGGAAGCTCAACTGTGGTGCAGCCACATAGCCACAAGCTTCAGGAAAGAGACTAACAGGTTGCATGGCTCTGGGTAAAGCTAACCTCATATATATACATACATATACACACACACTAGCAATTCAGAAGGTTGACACTAGGTTAGGTGGCGTTGAGAATGAGAAGTGTTTATCAGGAACCCTGGGACAAGGGACTTCCTGGATGTAGGCAGACCTGATATTGGGTATAAAGGCCAGGGGTCTGGTGGAGCCAGGGGAGGTCAGAACTATTCCAGTAGATGTCGGGAACAGACAAACTAGTGTAGGAAACCACTGGGGTGTCTAGATGTTTGTTTCCCCTCTGGCTGCATGCAACATGTTTAGACTTCCTGACTTCCAGTTTCAATGGAGCTCATCCCTGGGTGCCTGTCTACCCTGCAGAGGCCAGGCAGCGGCGGCAGCAGTGTTTTAACAGGGTCTCTCCTCTCGTCCAGTTCCTGTTTATTTCAGGGTTCACCTTGCTCTTTCCTCATCAAACCTCTGAAATGTCTCGGCCCTCCTCAAGCATTCTCAAGGTTGCCTAACAATGGCCCGCATGAGTTCACATCTGTGGGACTTGTGGCAGCTGTGGTCACTAGGAAGGGGGACAGCAATATTCAGGCCCACCCGGACAGGCCGTGGTCCCATACAGTCTGTGACCTGGACTCATTGTCACACCAACCCTCTTCTGTTCTCTATCCCAGGCGGCTCCGCCCACAACTTGTCCCTCACCTGCTTCAAGGCAGCTCACCTGACTGACCTGGGCCCACATCCTCCTCTTTATGGGAAGGAAAACCCAGCAGTCATAATCGAACAAGGCCATATTCTCAGAGCTCCAGGGCCGAGTCACCATCTGTTCTGAGCCCCGTCTGGGTAGCTCTTTCCTGTCTCCAATGGGAGATCGGGGCTACGCATGAGCAACTGAGAGATGAAGACAGAGGAGACGAGACAGAGACTGCGAAAGAGAGACCCAGAGACAGAATGGGGGACCAAGAGAATGGGGGAGGTAAAGAGCAGGCAACGGGTAGGGAGAGAACAAAGGAATGTGCCCCACAGTAGTGCCAAGGGGCCCAGGGAGAAGAGCCCGTGTCTGGGATGGGCTGGAGATACCTTAGCAGGTGGCATCAGTCACTCCCTCCCCTAACACAGCAGTCCATCAGAGCCCAGCAAGACGCTGGGCAGAATTATCACTCCAGACTACAAGTGAAGCTATGGTCCAGAGTTGCCCAGCTACTGTTGTCATGCGTGCCTGTGATTATCAAGCCCCAAAGTGTGGCTCAGTTGCTGGTACTTGGTCCACAGCAAACATGTGTGTACCTCAGCCTATCAGACATCCCCAGATTAAAATCCCCCCCCCAAGTTCCCATGGTCAGTCCCTATCAGAAAGGCACAGGAGCCTGGTCCTGAGAGCACAAAGGGAGAGAGCCCACAGCCTCCAGAAAACCTGCTCGGTATGAGGGACAGACCTGTCTGCACACTGCTGCTCTTCTTTACTGAAGACCTTATCAAAGTGCAGTTCCCACACAGCAAGCTCGTCAGTGTTCACACAGAGGCCAGACGGCACATGTAATTGTGTGACGTCCGCTGACAGGCTTCCTGTGACCTCCACCTCTGCTGCTTAAGTCATCAGTACCCTGCTTCAGGCACAGCCTCACATCTGCACACTCAGGCAAGTTGAATCCCAGATGCTCACCCTTCAGGATGCCTTGGTCTGACCCCACCCCCAGCACCTCCCGCGCTCCTGCTAATAATCCCTGGGTGTCAGTCACTCACCCCTGCAGTACCCCCACTGCTGTCAGCTACCCCTGCAGTTTCCGCAGAGTTGGCACTCAGGATCTGCAAGAGAACAGAGACCAGAGTGAAGAGGGTTCGCAGTCACATGACACGCCCCGTGTAGCCGAAGACATTCCCTCCACCTATCACCTCTGTGCATGGAGGAGGAGTGTGTATGAGACAGCTGTTATGATAAATTGGGGCTCCGGGAGCCACGCCCTTCCCTGAACCGAAGGCTGGCTTGGCCCACCCTGGCCCTGATACTGAAAAATCACGCGTTGTGGAAGGATGAGGTTGTCCTGCAGACTTTCTCATGCTCTAGGCCCAGCTGACTAACAACAGCCTGTCTGTACCCTTTGTCTCCAAGTCGCTTGCCCTCAAGGAGAGTGCTAATGTTTCCTCAAATACATATCCAGGAAGAAAAAATGGGAGTGGATTGGATGCAAATCAGAAGGAATAGGCAGACCTCTGGGGGCAGGAGGCCAGCCAGCTGGAGGTGGGTAGGCTGAGGAGCTGGGATAGGCCAGGTGTTCCCTCCAGACACACCCGTGAGTGTGGGAAAAGCCCATGAAGATGGAGGGGTGGGGACGCACATCATTGTCCCAGAGTGCGTCTTCCCAGGAGTTTTTGCTGCAGCCTCCGGTGCAGCCTCTAGGGCTGTCCTCCCTCAGGGCAGAAACCATCTTCAACATCCAGTCTGCTCTTTCTAAGTCTGGGGAGGCCCCAGCATGAGGGATGGCCATCCCTAGTCCCTGCCTCAGTCATGTCTCCTTATTGTACCCCTGGGGCCACTGCACAGAGGACGTGGAACCGTACACTCCTGGTGCCACTGGCAGAGGGTTTTGAGCTGACACCCCAGGCGTGCAGGGGGATTTGGGGAGAAAACATAAGCACAAAAAGACATCGCTTGCTGTTCCAAGTGGAGTGTGAGATGGGCACCATGACCTGAGGATGGCCTGGGAGTGTCACCGGTTCCATAGGAAGAAGATAAGGTTCCTTGATGCTCATGGCTGCCTTCCTGAAGGCATGAAGATGACAAAACAGCACTAAGCGGGGGGGGGGGCGGGCTTCCCCCACATGGACATCAACCTGCAAGGCAGCAGATGCAGCGGGTGGCAGTGGTTTCAGCACAGGGCAAGCAGGGAATGTGTATTCGAGCTGTCTGCGTCCTACCCTAGGCCTCTCTCCCTGGTCAAGAGCTAACTCCCACTTCCCCCAGACAACAGGCTGCTGCTGACTCACGGGCTGGTCTGGAGACAGGGTGGGCTCCTCATCCTGGCTACAGGCCCCGCCGAAGGCCCTGAAGGTCTCGCTCTTCTGTCTGTGCTTCTCCACGGTGGCCTGAATAACCTGGACACACAGCAAAGTCGCAGGGCTGTCAGAGAGCCAGGGAAGGACACAGAGAGCGCAGGGTCCACAGAGCAACCCTGATCATCTTATCCTCACTGATGACTCCACGACCAAAGAAAGACAACACCTAGCCCGAGGCCCCTCCTGGCCCTGGTTCCTTCCTTGTGGAGAAGGGGCTCAAACAAGTAAATGGATTGGAAGGCTTGTGGTACCTGAAAGCATACATAGAGGCACCCCATGGCCACTCCTTCCTTCAGACTTGAGGACAGGCAGTGCCAGTGTTAGGGAAGAGTCCCTAGGTCATGTGGCCCAACGTGAAATGGCCATACCACAATAACATGAGGATGTAAGCCATATATGGTGATGCATGTCTGAAATCCTAGCCTTCAGGATGCCGAGGCAGGAGGGCCGAGGGTTTGAAGTCAATGTTGTTCCCTCAACAAAACCTATCCCCAGATCTCTACGAGTTTGAGATCAGCCTGGTCTACAAAGTGAGTTCTAGGACAGGCTCCAAAGCTACCCAGAGAAACTCTGTCTCAGCCTCCCCCCAAAAAAAACACCCCAAACCAAAACCTATCCCCCAGCCCCAAGGGCTGGTGATGCCGCTCAGAAGCAGTGCCTTTGCTGAGCGGGCCCCGGGCTCCAGGTTTGATGCTCAGGAGGGAGGGACAGAGAGAGCAGACTTGAAAGGCTTCACCTGAACCCATTCTTTCTTCTCTTCTTCTGTCCTACAAAGACAAAAATCAGTATTTTATCACTCCATCCACCGACACCCCCTGCATGCCTACCTAACCACTCACCGCCTTGTAGCTGCAGCTCAAGGCTGGAAAGGTAGCTTGAGTGTTCAGAATACACGTGGCCTGTGGGGCCAGGCTCGCCCTGCAGACCCACAGCACCCTAGACCCTGGCAGGCGATTACAAAGCTCTCATGCTCTGGGTGGAATGTGACACACTGGATTTGACACACCGCCTGTGAGAGCTCAAGCTTGGCCTCGGGGGACAGTGTGACCAGATACAGCAAGACATGCCACATGCTAAGGGTTAGTTCCCCCTCAGAGGTTCATCTTACACAGGCTATTCTGGAAAAATATGTGAGATTATAGGATGAATCCTGGCACATTAACTGACAAAAGCCAGATGAAGGACTGGCGTCCTGGTTAGTGTTTTGTCAAACTGACACGGGCCGAGTTATGTAGAGAGGAACTCCAGTCGAGGGAATGCCTCCATCAGATGTCCTGTAGGCAATCTTGGGGCATTTTCTTTATATTAATGAAAGATCTGCGAGGATCCAGCATACTGTGGGTGGTACCACCCCTCTGCAGGCGGCCCTGGGGTCATATAAGAAAGCAGGCTGGTGGGTGTTGGTGGCGCGCGCCTTTAATCCCAGCACTCCGGAGGCAGAGGCAGGCAGATCTCTGTGAGTTCGAGGCCAGCTTGGTCTACAGAGCGAGTTCCAGGACAGCCTCCAAAACATTACAGAGAAACCCTGTCTCAAAAAAAAAAATAAAAGAAAAAAAGAAAGAAAGAAAGAAAGAAAGAAAGAAGGAAAGAAAGAAAGCAGGCTGAGCAAGACATGGGGAGCAACCCGGTAAGCAGGTTCCTCTATTTCAGTTCCTGCCCTGACTTCCTTCAGTGTTGGATATGACCTGGGAGTGTAAGCGAAATAAACCCTTCTCTCCCTAAGTTGATTTTAGTTATAGTGTTTTATCACAGCAATAGAAACTGTAAACAAGGGTGGTTCAGCAGTTAAGAACACTGACTGCTCTTCCAGAGGACCTGGGTTCAAATCCCAGCACCCACAGGGCAGCTCACAACTGTCTGTACCTCCAGTTCCAAGGGATCTGGCACCGTCACCCAGACATGCATAAGGACAAAACAAAACACCAATGCACACAAAATAAAAATAAATCTTAAAAAAAAGAAATCCTTACCAAGACACATGCTGTTTGTAACAGCCACCTTTGAATGGGTGTGTGCACATGCATTCATGTGCTCATGTATGCATGTATGTAGAGGACAGCATTGCGTGTCTTCTTCAATCACTATCCACCTTACTTTTGATGCGGGACTTCTCACTGAACTTGGAGCTCACTGATTCCCCTGGGATGGCTAAAGAGCAAGCCTCGGGGACAGGACTGGGATTACAGACACACACTGCTGTGTCTGGCTGACTCAGGTCCTCATGCCATGAGGCAGGCACTTTACCCACTGCGACATCTTCCCATCTTTAATTAAAACACACACACACAGACACACACACACAGACACACACACACACACACACACACAGACACACACACACACACACACACACACACCTAGAATTAAAAGCTTAGTTCTTAGTCGTTGCTAACCATCCTTAGTTACGTGAAGCATTGAACTCTAAGTGAATAAGAACATATTGAAGGGTTATCTCATTCAGTAAAAGAAGCCATCTGCTACAATCTCAGGTCAAAGATGCACATGCATGCGGCTGCAGGTGCTAGTGCCATACCGCGTCTGAAGCTCCAGGGACCTTTTCCTTCCTGTTATGATGAATGTGTGTGCTGCATTTGGTTTCACAACATCTTGCACCTGCAGGAACAACACAGAACAGAGCAAATGAACGCAAGTTGCCGTTTTAGGTGCTCCTTGACATAGACAGACCCATGCTCTCTGATTCAGAGGTTTTTTTTTTTTGTTTGTTTGTTTGTTTTTTGTTTTTCCTGTGGAAGTGTCAGGGTGACCCCCATGGGCTCTCAGACCTATAAGGTTGGGATACTGAGGCTCAGGGGGGAGGGCAGGCCATTCCTCTTGCCCACGCAGAGCTGGGTCTCGGTCTCTGTGTTTAGACAGATGCTTGGCGAATATACCTGTCCTTTAGCAGTTGTCCTCACACAGCCCTGACCGAGCCTCTCCCTTCCAGCATGCATGTCTTTACCTCCAGCACAGCATGCACCTCCCTGGGAGGGACGAAAATCTGAGAAGATCCTTGACTCCGTCCCTCAGAAGGTGCTTGAGCCCACATGGGCAGGTGCATTATGGGTGTAAAGGAGTGTACCCAGACAGAGTTGATGGAGTAGTATCATATCCTTACAGGCTCTCAGAACTCACCCTCTTCAATCAACAGAAAACCACAGAGCACACTTGCTCCTGGAAGCTCTTGGACTGGTCCCTGTAAGAGCCCCTGACCTCAATCAGTCTGTTGGAGGCATTCCTGGACCTGGACCCAGCCAGAAACAAACTCTGGACTTTCCCACTGCACATTGAAAATGGTATTAACATATGATAGTCACTAAAACAGGGCTGTTTTGTTGTTTTGTTTTCTTTTTTGAGACAGAGTTTCTGTGTAATAGCCCTAGCTGTCCTGGAACTAGTTCTGTAGACCAGGCTCGTCTCAAACTCACAGAGATCCACCTGCCTCTGCCTCACAAGTGTGTCATCACTGCCTGGACCAGGACTGTCTTTTTAGACTAATTTATGTGTGTGTCTGTGTGCCGTTATGTACACAAGTACAGGTGCCTGAGGAGGCCAGAGGGAGAAATTAGATCCCCTGGAGCTAGAGTTCCAGGCAGTTGTGAGCCACTCAGTTTGGGTGCTGGGAACTGAAGTTGGGTCCTCTGAAAGAGTCACAAGAGCTCTTGACTGCTGAGTCATCTCTCTAGCCCCAGGACTGATTTCTCATAGAGCGACTCCGCAAAAGTGGCTTCTTCTAACTATGGAAGAAGCAATTTGTTCCCCTGTAGCTAGTAACTGCTTATAACCATTTCTTAACCTGGATCAAGAGAATTCCAAGGGAATTTCTATGGAGTGGGTAGTTGTTTAATCAAATCTTGGCTTTTTCAGATAGTTAGAATCATTTAATTGGAAGATATTGGGGGGGCTGGAGAGATGGCTCAGTGGTTAAGAGCACTGATTGCTCTTCTAGAGGACCGGAGTTCAATTCCCAGTACCCACATGGCAGCTCACAGCTGTCTGTAACTCCAGTTCCAGCAGATCTGGCATCCTCACAGACATATATGCAAGCAAAACATAATAAAAATAAATAAATTATTTTAAAAAATAAAATATTTTTGTATCAATTATTAATTCAAATCTCTCTCAGTAGCAGATAGAATCCATATCAACCCTGAATATCATGACATATGGAATAGGCTTTTGGATCAAGGGGAGCAAAGACAGAGGATTTAAGATCATGCAGGAAATGAGGCAATTTGTGGTCTAGGGTACAGACCACACGAGTAGGCCCACACGCCATTCTCAATTTCACTTCTGGATCTTTAGACAGCCTATCTTGTGTCTATGTGACCCCCGTGGCTGTGAACTTTAGTTTCAGCCTCCTGCCCCTTCAGCATGAGACCACCAGGGACTGACAGAAGGTAGAATCCAAGGCTAGTACAGTACACCACAGGCAGCACTGCCTTCCCAAGGCTAGTACAGTACACCGGGACCAAGATGCTGTCTCAGAAACCCTTAAGTCACGGAGCTGGCCATCAAAGCCTAGCATCCCCATTCCTGCGTGTTCCCCTTCCAGAGTATAAGAGGGGAGAGAAGGACCCACCCACCTGGAGATCAGAGATGTCCATTTTCTCCCGTACACTGAACTTCTGGCCCATGAGCCTCAGTTTGGGTACACAGTAGAGTATCACATTGTTGAACTGCAAGAAAGATGTCATGGGGAGAGGTGGTCACAGGAAGCCCCTCATAGGGACCCACATAAGCTTTCTTTAATGTCTCATATACATACATATATATATATATATATATTACATGTGTAAGTTTATATCTATTTATTTAAAGATGTACACATATGCCTTTAAGCACAACCTTCAAAAGGCAGATTCTGAGCCGGTAATGGACAGTGATGGCCCCACTAAATACCAGTAGCCCCACACAGTACAGGCTACTGCCAATGATCTTGTTACCCTCCAGAACTTGATGGTAAGGTGCTATGCACTTTACCAGAGGAGACATAAGCATCAGCCATACGCAGCTATGAACCCCGTGAGCTATGTTAACAACGGGTCCAGCAAGACATTCCCACTGGTACAATAGTGGCTCGAATGTCTAGGGAGAAACCAATCAATTTCTGATTGGATTTAAGGCCACAAGATGAAATCTAACCCTAGCATTATTAGCCAATAACCTGTGGCTAGATATGCCACAGGCCTGAGGTTAAAAAAGGGAAGCTTTCAAAGATCCAGCTCCTTAGAGAGCCACCAGTATAAGGCAGTGTGATAGACAGGGTGTTTGCCTAGCAAATGTAAGGCCTTGGGAAGAAGCAGAAGAAAGAGGAAGAAGAGGAGGAAGGAGAAGAGGAAGGGGAGGTAGGGGAAGAAGAGAAGTAGCTATAGGAAAATGGGGAAAAAAGAATCTTGTCTCTTCCTATATTAGGTATTGATGGATCCCTCCCTATAATCCCTTCCTGCTTTTTCTCCTCCCTATAAACCAGTGTGCTTCCGGGGAAAGTTGGGGTCTTGATGTTTGGGCTACAGTTCTTTATATTTCTGGTTTCTGGAGACTCTTTCGTTGTATCACAGGTAGATCAAATTAAAAACAGAAATGCTGGATATCAGGAGCATCCATATTAGATGCTTGTGGAAACCAGGGCAGAGCCCTTGACAAGAGGTAGCACAGCCAATTATCAGGGGAGGCCACAGAAGAAGGCCCTCCTTGGCCGTCTGTGTCTTGCCAGTACTGCCCAGAGCCAGAGAAGGTGGGGGGGGGGCGGCTCTGTGGCTGGGATGGCCACCTGGCTCACCAAGAAGAGGTGCCGGTCCTGCGTGGTGCCGTTCTTGGCCGACAATTTCTGGATGTTGCCCTCCTTGATCAGCTCATTGGCTGGGTTGACGATGTCTTCTTCCCCACCCAGCTGCTCGTACACCTCCAGGAGCTTGTGCATTTTCTCCTGCAAGAGACAGGAAGCTCAGGCAGCTGCAGAGTCACCAAGGGCCAGGGAACTGCCTGGGACCCAGAGGTGAGCAAAGCCATGCTCTGCGACTGTGACTCAGAGTCCATTGCAGCAGCAAAATGGCTGCCAGCGAAAAGGGAAGCAGGCACAGGATGACACTCGAGTTGAGTATTGAAGGGCGACTGGAAACTCAACATTCAGGAAATGATAACTCATAAACCTCTGCTGTCATGTGCCGGGGACTGTTCTACATTTAATTATTTAACTCTAGCACAAACCCTATGGGGTGAGTGGCAATGTTATTTCTAGTTTACAGACAAGGAAACTGAGGTGTGCAGGAATCAGCTGAGTGGCTATGACCCAGACTGGGCCAATCTACGTATGTTCCCCAGACCTGGTTGGGGAGTCACAAGGCACAAAGGTACGATGGGGACAAGGTTAACAGCTCATGGCTCTAGCTCTTGGTTAGAACTCAATAATATTCACAGTAGAATCGAGCCTGTAGGGACTTAGGCAGTAGCAACATGGGCTGGGGCAGGGCCTGCTAGGCCTCAGATGGCCTGTCCTTGGACTTGCAATTTCTCCCTGTGTACCTAGAAGTTGGCAGGTCAGTCTGCCCTTCTGTCTCTTGAATGACCTTGCAGGAGCCAGCAGGTATATGGAGGAGCAGTATATACAGGTACAGTCATGGCATGTCCTAGCTTGCACTGGGAAGGTGGCTGTGGTAGTTTGAATGCAATTGGCCCCCATGAATTCATAGGAAGTGGCACTCATAGGAAGTAGCTTTGTTGGAGTAGGTATGGCCTTGGAGGAAGTATGTCACTGTGGAGGTGGGCTATGAAGTCTCTTTTGCTCAAACGTTGCTTAGAGTTGACACTGAGACCCCTTCCTGTCGCCTTCTGATCAAGATGTAGCCAGCACCATGTCTGTCTGCATGCCGCCATGCTCCCGGTCATTAAGATAATGGACCCAACCTCTGAAACTGTAAGTGAGCCACTCCAGTTAAATGCTTTCTTTATAAGAGTTGTCATGGTCATGGTATCTCTTCACAGGAATAGAAGTTCTAACTATGAGTGTTCGTATGCCTACCTGGTTTGTACAGAGAGGCTGAGCATGCACTTGGTATTGGTACTAGGATGTGCACCCGGCAGATCCTAGGGAGACTGGGCATATATGTGCTCACTGATGGGGCCCACTTAGAATCAGGGTCAAAGTGCTCACTTACACGGTCAGCCCTCCCCCCTCTCCCTGCACATGTTTTGCTCCCCTACAGCACTCTGAACTCACCATCTTCCTGATGGCAGCATTGGAATGGTCAGCAGCGGTGGAGATGAGCTCCAGGGACCCTGAATGAGGAGAACCGAGTGAGCCCGGGCACACGGCAACTCCACAAGTTCTCACTGGACAGGCTGACAGTGAAAATGTGGGCATGGCCTTGCTTCAGGGCGCCCAGACTGCTCCAAAGGTATGGCCCAGAGAAAAGACAAAGTCGAGAGACACTTGCTGACCTTGCCACGGCCAAGACAAGTGGGACCCCTGACTCTCCTGCACAGTCCCCAGTCCTCTGTTCCCCGCCAGTTACGTCGGTCTTGAATCTCGAGATAAGAATGTCCTCACTGTGGGGCCCATTGCTGGGTCCTAAGCTCTCAATGGAGTCAGTGCTTGGCAGTGTCTTCCCCAGATAGGAAAAGATTACAGCACTTTCCTAGTTTCCTAGTTACTGATGTGTGTGTGTGTGTGTGTGTGTGTGTGTGTGTGTGTGTGTGTGTGTGTGTGTGTGTGTGTATTCTGCCGTTCTCTGTGTCTCAGGCCAGGGTTCTCAGCCTCTTCCACAGATTCCCCTCAGCCTTGCAGCCACTCCTACTTACTCTCAGCATCCTTCCGGTCTGGGGCGTCCCTGGGGAGCCTCTTCAGGTAGTCTTTGAGCAGCAGTTCGTAGCGAGGGACCCTCTGCACAGGCTCCAGCATGTGGTGCTGCAGTGTCAAGTTCCCACACTCCTCCTGCTTCTGGGGGAACAAAGGACACACACAGGGTCACCAGCCTGCTTCTGGCACCACGGTCCCTGGAGGTTGTCTGGAGCACATGCTCTTTAAGACACAATCGGCACAGACCACACCTGGAGAAACTGAGGCTCACAGGGGCCTAATGATGGAGGGAGAACTGGAACTCTGGGCGGGCAGGTTTGGGTTGAAGAAGACAGATGCCAGGACGAAGCTCCCCCCACAGAAGTGATTCCCACTCCTATCCAACCCTCATCGCCCTCAGGTCCTCTCCCTCTCTGTCAGGTGGAGGCCACCTGTGCCTAGCTCCCCCAGTATCAGTCCCCATGCCTAGAGGCTGCTGAGAGTCCTTCTGCGAGGTCCCTGCATAACTAATGAAGGAAAGAGTAGGGGTGCAGGGAAGCCCAGCCCATGTTGTCCCCACTCTCCACACTTCCCCCCTGCCCTCCAGATAACAGCTCCCCCTTTTGTCACACGTTAAGGCCTCCTCAGTGCAAGCAGCAGGAATCTACACCCTTGGCCCTGCACACAAGTCTACCATGACGACTGCTGATGCACTATTGCCTCTTTGCTCGCGTGGGCTCTCCTGCCGTGCTGCCTGGCTCATCGACAGCTGAGAGGGCCTGCTGTACTGCCTGCTCCACTGCCCTGCCCCCAGCAACTTCAGGGAGGGGCCCAGCCACCCACATCTTCCTCAGATCAAAACTTCTGGCCCGGCTAGTGGTGGCACATGCCTTTAATCCCAGCACTCGGGAGGTAGAGGCAGGCGGATCTCTGTAAATTTGAGGCTAGCCTGGTCTACATCGACTTCCAGGACAGGCTCCAAAACTACACAGAGAAACCCTGTCTCGGGAAACCAAAAGACAAACAAACAAACACTTCTGGTAGAGATGGCTCAAAACTCTATTGGGTGTAACAGGTTCTTGGGATCTGAACTCAGGTAAGCACTTTACCCACCAACCCATCCCCTCAGTCCCTAAAACAATTAGTCTTTTGGCAGGCATAGTGGTGGCTTTTTGTTTTGTTTTGGTTGTTGTTGGTCTTTCCAAGACAAGATTTTTGTGTGTGTGTGTGTGTAGCCCTGGCTGTTCAGGCCTCAAACTCAGAGATCCACTTACCTCTGCTTCCTGAGTGCTGGGGGATTAAAGGTGCGAGCCACAATGCCTGTCTTTGGTTTTTAAATGAAGGCTGCACTTATGAAAAAAAAAATCTGAGCATTGGTGCTGGAGAGATGACCCAAGGTAAGAGAACTTACTGCTCTGGCAGAGGGCCTGCATTCGGTCCAAGCAACGACATGGCTAGCAGCTGTCTGTAACCCTAGTTTCAGGGGATCTGACATCCTCTTCTGACATACGTGCAGGCAAAACACTCATACACATAAACTTTAAGAAAATCTAAAGAAATGTCTGGGTGTCATGGTGCTTTCTTGTTACCCCAGTGCTGGCGATGCAGGGATAAGCAGATACCATTGGCCAGTGTTCCAATGAGTTCTGAGTTCAGTGAGAGACCCTGCCTCAAAACAAGATGGGGAGTGATAGAAGGCACTCAACCTCAGCTGACATCTGACCTCCAGTAGTATACACATGTATGAGCATACCCACACACATGTTCACAGGCATATACCACACACACACACATTATTTCAAGATAAAAATCAAGGGAAGATGAGGAATGGATGTTTATAGAGTTTCAAAATATCTCTCTGCTAGAAATTTATGAATAAAGAAGAAAAAAAAAAGGCTTTGCTCCAGTGACTCACACAGAGACACTGCCCAAACTGAATCATGGAAAAACCGCAGATAAACCCAAGTCAAGAGGCAGTCAATTCCCTCAAGAGGACACGGGCAGAGCAGTGTGTGGTCCTAGTGTGGCTTGTGAAGCACAGAGAGAAAACTTAGAAGTTCATCATTGGGATAGCTGATGACTATGTGGGCTGTGAGGAGACAGTGCTGTGACAGCCGTGTGAGCTTCTCGATTTCAGTCACCAATGTGGGCGTGTGGGACACACTCTCCTTCACACTGAATGATGAAACTGCAGTGCCTGCAGATGAGTTTCAAAACACAGTAATCATCACATGTGCTTAGAGATAATGGTAAATAGCACAGAGTGTCTGTAATGTCTGAACATTTGTCCTTTTGTGGCCATGCCTGGGTATGCTGTGTGCATACACATCTCTGGCTGAAAACTGAACTTCTTCTAGGCTTGCTGATCAATCCCAGAATCTACCTGTCTCAATGCCCTACCCTCAGCCCTTGGTAAGAGGGTTCAGACATATGCCACTGATGGGGGATGTCTGTGAACACATGTTTCTCTTATCATTTGATGAATAAAGCTGTTTTGGCCAATAGACAGGCAAGGTGTAACCAGGCAGGAAGTATAGGCAGGGCTACCAAACAAGGAGAATTCTGGGTAGAGGAAGACAGTGAGTCGCCAGAGAGACACTATGTAGCTGCCGAGGAAGAAAGAGATGTGGGCATCACCGGTAAGCCAAGACCATGTGGAGATACACAGATTAATAGTTATGGGTTAATAATTAAGGGAGACCTAACCAATAAGGAGCCTGAGCCATCTGCCAAACAGTTCATAATTAATATAAGCCTCTGTGTGTTTATTTGGGGTTAAATGGCTGCAGAACCAGGGGGGACAGGAAATTCCATCTACATTCCACCATACCTGCCTTCACCTGGTGCTAGAGGTCCAAACTCAGGTTCTTGGCTCTTTCTCTAGCCTTAAGTTGGTCACTTTACAAACTCTTGGTAAACATTCGAATTTTTTAAGGCTTATAATTTAAAATAGGTTTTGAATCAAGCAAAAAATTCTCCAGAGATCAAGGGAAACCTGATGGTCATTTGATCCCATTTTGTCCAGGTCGAGGCTTCTCAGCGTTGGCCATGGACTTTGCATAGGAGAATTTGCTGTTGTGGGGCATTCTGTGCCCTGCAGACCTGGCCCAGACTCTACCCTCCAGATACCAGAAGCAACATCGGGTCAGCAGACACAGTCCAGGCCTTTGCGGAGAACAGCTGAATTGTGCTGAGGCCAAGAGGCAGAACCAGGGCTGTGTCTAGTAGGAAGTATCCCCAGACCATACCCACTGCTCAGGGACAGCATAGGGCTGAGTCTATCAATGCAGACAACTGTCATCCCAATCCTGGAGGTGCCTTGTCACCTGAGGACCTGCTAGACCCAAGAGCCTGTTCTGCCCTGTGTGGACAGGGACAGTGGCCTGTGCTCGGGCTGAGCACTGCCTTGTCCTCTGGAGGGAGATGTGTGTAGAGCTCACTATACAGAAGAGTCTTATACTACACACTTATGTGAGAAGTTAGTGTCACAGCTTCTCCAGAGGGCTGGGATGGGGGGGGGTGTAACTGCATCAGCACGAGGACCTGAATTCAACCCCAGAACCCATGTAGAAAAAGCCAGACTTCCTGATGCAGGCTTGGAATCCCAGCACTTCATACGCCAGGTGTGGTGGTGCACACTTGTAATCTCAGCACTCAGGAGGTAAAGGTAGAAAAGTTGGAGGTCCAAGGTCATCCTTGGCTGCATAGGGAGCTCAGACTATTCAGGGATAGAGACCTTGTCTTGTGGAGGTTTATTTTGTTTGTTTTGGTTTTGTTGTTGTTTTTTGGTTTGTTTTTGTTTTGGACATGGTCTTAGTATGTATTGTTGTCTGGTCTTGAATTTGCTATGTAGACCAGACTGGCCCCAGACTCACAAAGATTTGCCTGCCTCTGTCTCCTGAGGGCTGGAATTAAAGACACATGCTTGGCCTGAGACCTCGTCTTAAAAAAAAAAATCTTTTCAGAGTTAAAAAAAAAAGTGTGTGTGTCACACTCCTGCAGCCACCTACCTGGATGCTGTGGATGACGTCCTTAAACTGCGGAGAGCGGTGGGTCCATGAGCTCACCAGCCCCATGGCCCTGTCAAAGTTCTTGACATACTCGCCATACATCTTCAGGAATGGGGCCAGTTTCTGCAGGATGTCTCCGAGTCGAGGGTTTGTGTCCCTGTGTGGAGGAGCGTGGCCGTCAGACCAATAGTCTAGGTGGAGTAGTACTCTGGTGTTCAGCATGTTTGTCACCCTCTCGGGGTGTGTTTCCTCCCAGATTGTGGACTGGACATTAAAAGAGGATTTCTCTAAACACCTCAGCAGCATCGGCTGAGGCCCAGAGACCAAACAGAAGGCCTTAGCAACAGTGCTGCCCTTGAGTGACAGAACACAGTTATCAAAGATGGTTGGTGAAGTGCCATTCTAAATGAGCACAGTTTTAAAATGATGGCTCTGTACACTGCCGCCAAAGCTACGGAGAAAAGGGGAGGACTTTGCAGGACCAATGGTAAAAAAAAAAAAAAAAAAATGTCTGAGTGCGCTGAGTGAACAAATAGATTCTAGGAAGCAAGCATTGCCATAGTAACTGTGCATTTATTTCCTCTGCGTTAAAACACCCCCTTCAGGAAAGGGAGGCTCCTTAAGACCCAGGCAGTAAAACTTACTGGGCTCAGGAAGCCACCAGAACTTCAGGAAGCTCCTGAAACTTGCATGAGCCAGAAGGCCTCCCCTCCAAGGCCATGCAAGCAATAGCGATTGCTTGGGAGAGACTGTCCACTCTGCCATCAAGCTGTGGGGAAGCTCCAGGGATGCAGCTTTCATGGGACCTCCCCTGCTGCAGCCACGTTGAAGTCACCCATGCTCACTGTTTCAGCTAAGCTGGGATTGGGTGGAATCCATTTGTTTTATTTATTTATTTATTTATTTATTTATTTATTTATTTATTTATTTATTGGTCTAGCATTGAAGCCCTGTCTTGGGTAAGTAGATGGTGTTCACATCTCCACAGGCAAAATCAACATAGTAATTTTTTTTTCTTAGCACTCTCTTTTGGAGATTTATCCTTAGTAATTGGCAAAAACCAAAGAAAAAAGGCATGGGCATGAGGCCATCACTTGGTACTCATATGAAACTGTGCACAGAGGCTTGGTTTTTATAAATTAGGCAACTAGAGATGCTAGACAAGTGGCCCTGTGTCGTCATCATTACAGGACTGTGGAGACACCCTGAGGACCAACAGACCCTCCAGAGCACGGAAGGAGAAAGCCTGTGCTGCCAGACATCCGCTTTGTCACCACAAGTCCACACCCAGCTCTAAACACCTGCAGGACACAGCGCAACCTTCTCTGCAGCTTCCGAAGATTCACAAAGTGGCCCAGCCACACACGGAGACAAAGATGACAAGACAGACATCCCCAGTCACCCAAGGCAAAGTCAGGAGCCATGAAGGGCATACAAGCCCTGCAAAGGAAGGCAGGCAAACTTCAAGCCTCCCAAAATGCGGGGAGCACACAGTTAAAACTGGTAGGCCTCCCCCAGTGTCAGGGCACTAATTGTGGTTTGCGGCTTTGGCTGAAAATAGGCAAGAGTTGAGGGGTGCAGAAAGAAGAGGACCTGGAGCCACTCCTGAGGATAAGGTCCTTTTAAAAAGCAAGGGTAGGGGGCTGGAGAGATGGCGCAGAGGTTAAGAGCACTGTCTGTTCTTCCAGAGGTCCTGAGTTCAATTCCTAGCAACCACATGGTGGCTCTGGTGCCCTCTTCTGGCCTGGGCAGAACACTGTATATGTAATAAATAATTATTTTTTTAAAAAAAGTAGAAACAGGCTGACCCAGCATCACTGTTGCTTCCAGATGTCAAAATCTCATCTAGATCACAAACTGAGAGACACCCAAGGCCCAGTCAAAGCCACCAGTCCAGAAAAGGCAGGGCTAGGATTGGGAAAGGTGGGCACCCAGGCCTCCAGAAGACAAACCCCAAACCCCAAGAACCTGTCAGGCTTCCAGGCAGAGGAATTCAGGTTTAGGGGCCTTATGGGTGGCCATGACACACTCACCACTCCTCTGTGATCCTCTTCTGCAACTCGGGCAGGAGGAACTGCCCATGGAAGCGGTAGATGGAGGAGATGTTGGAGAAAATGCCGGTGGTGACTTCTGGAGGGATCCCTGCTTCTGTCAGCTTGGTGCAGAAACCCTGAGCACAGAGAAGCCCACAATGGTCACCGAACGGGAGACAGACACCTGCCACAGGAGCGGGCTCTTGGGTTCTTCCCCCCACCCCAACCTCAAACGCACAAAGATCAATCTGCCTCTGCCTCCCGAGTGCTTGTGCCACTACCACCCGACTTGTTTTTTGGTTTAAAATTTTTTTCAATTAGGAGGCAGCTGGTTTAAAAATTTTTCAATTAGGAGGCAGCCTTTAATCCCAGCACTTGGGAAGCAGAGGAAGGTGGATCTCTGTGAGTTTGAGGTCAGCCTGGTCTACAGAGTGAGTTCCAGGATAGCCAGGGCTACACAGAGAAACCCTGTCTTGAAAACAAAACAACAACAAAAAGACCAAACAAACAAACAAACCTCTCTGTCTCTCTGTCTCTCTGTCTCTGTCTCTCTGTGTGTGTGTGTGTGTGTGTGTGTGTGTGTGTGTGTGTGTGTGTAGTGCATGTGCAGAGAGACCAGAGAAAGACATTGGTGTCCTGCTGTCAGTTCCCACCACATTCTCTGTCTCTGTCTCTGTGTGTGTGTGTGTGTGTGTGTGTGTGTGTGTAGTGCATGTGCAGAGAGACCAGAGAAAGACATTGGTGTCCTGCTGTCAGTTCCCACCACATTCTCTGTCTCTGTCTCTGTGTGTGTGTGTGTGTGTGTGTGTGTAGTGCATGTGCAGAGAGACCAGAGAAAGACATTGGTGTCCTGCTGTCAGTTCCCACCACATTCTCTGTCTCTGTGTGTGTGTGTGTGTGTGTGTGTGTGTGTGTAGTGCATGTGCAGAGAGACCAGAGAAAGACATTGGTGTCCTGCTGTCAGTTCCCACCACATTCTCTTGAGTAGGGTCTAGAGCTAGGTTAGCAGTCAGCAAAACCCAGCAGCCCTCCTGTCTTTGCACCTCCATGGTGCTGGGGTTACAGGCGTGCACTTTGAAAGGGTCTACTTGTGTTTATGAGTGCTTTGTCTGAGTTATGTCTATGCACTACGTAAGTGTCTTGTGCATTGGGGCCTTTGGATCTATAGTTACAGATGGCTATGAGGCTCTATGTTGGTGTTAGCATCCAAACCCAGGTCCTGTGGAAGAGCAACCAGTGCCCCCAGATGCTGATCCATTGCTCCAGCTCCGAAGCATGCCCTTTTTACTTGGGTGCTGGGATTCAACACAGGATTTCATGCTTGCACAGAAAACATCTGTGTTGGCTAGTGTTGTGCCAGCTTCACACAGGCTAGAGTCATCTGAAAGGAGGGACCCTCAGTTGAGAAAATGCCTCGTAAGATGCTGCTGTGGGGCATTTTCTTAGTGATTGATGGGAGAGGACCCAGCCCTTTGTGGGTAGTGCCATCACTAGGCTGGTGGTCCTGGATGCTCTAAGAAATCAGGCTGAGTGAGCTTTGAAGGGCAAGCTAGGAATCAGCACTGCTCCATGACCTGTGCATCAGCTCCTGCCTCCAGGCCCCTGCCCTGTTTGAGCTTCTCCCAACTTCCTTCAGAGATGGACTATGATGTGGAAGCCTAAAGCAAATGAGCCTCTCCTGCTCACTTTTGATCACGGTGTTTCAAAACAGCAATAATAGCCGAGCGTTGGTGGCGCACGCCTTTGATCCCAGCACTCGGGAGGCAGAGGCAGGCTGATCTCTGTGAGGCCAGCCTGGTCTACAGAGCGAGTGCCAGGACAGCCTCCAAAACAATACAGAGAAACCTTGTCTCGAAAAACCAAAAAAAAAAAAAAAAAAAAACCACAAAACAAAACAAAACCAGCAATAGTAACTCTAACTAAGGCACACTCTTACCTACTGAGCCATTTCTCCAGCCCCACTTAGGTTTCCTTAATGGATGTCAGAGCCAGAATCCTCCACCTTTAAGTCTTACTGAACGCTTGCTCACAGCTGAGGATCACGGGAGAGGTAGGAACAGTGTATGGGAGATGGGGCGTGACATCTTTCCTCATCATCCTCTCAGGAGAAGGGGAAGGAGATCTCCTCTGGCTTGTGAGGCACAGGCAGGAGCCACACAGAGCAGGCCTTGTTTTCCTGGGTACTCAGGATCCTCTTCGCATTTCCTCATGGGCAGGGATGCACAGCACCCGCTGGCCCAGCTATGGATGTTCTATGTGTGTGCATGTGTGCATGTCCATGTGGGTACGGGTGTGCATGGACATAAGTGTGTGTGCATGCCTCTGGAGGCTAGAGGCCAATCTCAGGTGTCATTCCTCAGGTATCATCCAACTCTTGTTTTTTTGTTTCATTTTGTTTTGACAAGGTCTTTTCACTGAATCTTAATCTTGCCAAGTAGGTAAGATTAGACTGTCTGGTCAGCAAGCTTCCGGTATCTCCCTGTCTCCGCCTCCCCAGTGCTGGGATTATAAGCATTAGCCACCACTATTAGCCTGGCATCTTTACATGAGTTCTAAGACTCAAACACAGGTCCTTGTGCATGCAAGGCAAACACTTTACTGACTGAAACATCTCCTCAGATCCCAGCATGCATTCATGTGTTCAAATGATGCATCCTCCATGAAGAAATGTCCCCCATTGTGAACACACTGGACTTCTACCCAGAACCACACAGCACTGAGAACAAAATATATGTTTTCAGGCCAGACTTCCCTTTATCTGAATTTTAGTATTTGTCATTCCTACTCTAAGCATAATACCCACACCATTGAAGGGATACAGTGCGAATTCTGGGCATGAGAGAGGGGATTCCCAGCCCTATGGACTACCTGGTCCAGCAAGTGCAGCCGCCTCACGTAGGCTTCCTCTGTGTGCAGGAGCTCCTGGGCAATATTTAGCAGCTTCTGTTGGTCAGAGCACTGCAGAGAGAAGAGAAGCCACTTACTAGGGGGCAGGGTGCATCTAACAAGGCTATCCACAATACACCAGGATGCAGAGAGAGCACATGGAGACTCCTGAGTCTCAGATGTGGTTCTTGGCTCTCTTAGATGCTATTTCTATGGAGAGTTCTAGAAAAGGCACAGCAGTTTCTGCCAGTGTCCTCAAAGCCACTACAGTCCAGATGGAACTGTTATGTTTCTGGACTTCTAAGTAGGGAGCAGCCATAGCAACAGCATCAGAATCCAATGTACAGATAGGGTGCAGTTCAGTGAAAGAAATTTTGCCTATTACATACAAAACCTAGGGTTCCATCACTAACAACACACACACACACACACACATTCGTACACATACATGCCCTACTGTGTTGTGGAATATTTAACTATGGAAAGATACGTTACATCTGTTTATGCTGCATAATATTATTGTAGCTGTGTAAAGGTGTGTTACGTTAGTTTCTGCTGCCTTTGCCAATGATGTAAAGATGCTATATTTGTTTTTCTGCATTTGTTAAATTATATAAAGATATGCTGCATTTGTCCCACCTTGCCTGCCTAAGGCACCTGATTGTTCTAAAAAAAGCTGAACGGCCAAAAGCTAGGCAGGAAAGGGATAGGTGGGGCTGGCAGGCAGAAGAGAAAAAATAGGAGGAGAATCTAGACAAAGAAGGAGGAGAAGTGTGGTGATATAAAGCCACTGGAGATCAAAATGCAAAACTAGCTACAGCCATAGAGTCAGGCAGTGATGGCACACACCTTTAATCCCAAGACTCAGGAGACAAAGGCTCTCTGTGAGTTCAAGGCCACCCTGGCCTACACAAGAGTGAATCACTCTAAAAGAGAAACAGAGCTCATGCCTTTAATCCCAGCACTAGGGGGGTATAAAAGGAAGAAGCAAGGATCTCTTGTGAGATTTAGTTTCTAGATAGGGAGAGCATTTATCTCTGAGGATTTGGTTAGAGACAGGATTGCCATTTCAGCTGGGTAGAGGTAAGAGCTACTGGCTAGGCTGCTCTGCTTTTCTGATCTTCGGCTTGAGCTCCAATATCTGTCTCTGGATTTTTATTATTTGTGCTATAAAAATAAAAACAAACAAAAAACCCTGAAACGTATTCCACAGTTGTGGAGGCTGGAATTTCAAAGTCAAAAGCCCTGGCGAGTCTGGTGTTTGGTGAAGTCACAAGTCTCTGTGTGAAAATGGTGGCGCTAATGCTTGAGCTCGCAGTGTGGAAGGAGGAGAGGTGAAGAGGGATGGATGCTGCGTCCTCAAGTGGCAAAGGAACAGAGGAAAAGGAACCCGCAAACTCCTCCCTGATCCCCACCTTATTGTACAGTGCTGGGGATTTAACCCTGCCCAGAATGCGCGCTAAGGCAAGCACTCTGCATCTGGGCTACATGCCCAGGCTGTCCCCGCTCCCTTCTGTGGGGACACTGACTTAGCACCTCCTAAAGGCTTGCCCATGAAACAGATTATGCTGTTAGTATTATCACATTGGTGAAAAGACTCTAGCAGGTGACTTTTGGGGCGCATAGTCAATCCATAGCAATGCCCTTCAGCATTCCTCCCCCTTTGAAATACGGCCTGGAGCAAAGGGGCGAGAACCCCCACACCAGGGCTCCTCCTGCACCAGGGCCCTTCCACATCAGGGCTCCTCCCACATCAGGGCTCCTCCCACACCAGGGCTCCTCCCACACCAGGGCTCCTCCCACACCAGGACTAGGCCTGCAGGGCAGAAACAGAAAACTTGGCCAGGCACTGATAGGTCTGGCTCCTCGGGGCTCTACCCAGGAGATTTGGGAATGTGGAATCCGTCTTGCATGAGTAGAGAGCAGATGAACCCGGAACAGGAGTGTGGAAGCCACTGAAAACAAAGGCCAGCAGCACGTTAGGATTCCGGTTCCACAGGCACATGCTCTGAGCAACCAACTGTGTTGATGGGTAAAGTCTGGATGGGTGAAATCTGGAGTGATGGTTTCTTCAAATGCTCCCATCCAGCCAAAACTAAAAGCAGCAAGCAAAATTTATAAACCAGACAAAGAAGCAGGAGAATACGGCCCACTTACATGAAGAAAGCACCCCCCTGAAGTTGACCCTAAAGAAATACAGATCTGGGGCTTAAGGAGGTCAATTCAGTCAGCAAAGTCATTGCCACATACGCACAAGAGCCTGAGTTCAGTCCTCAGTACTTAAATAAACAGCCAGTCATGGTGGCATGCATGTTAATTCAGTACCGGGGAGGGAGAGATGGGTAGATCCTTGGGGCTCTCTGGCCAGACTAATCAGTGAGCACAAAATCCCGGTGAGAAACACTATCTAAAAGAACAAGGAGGGCCGGGCAGTGGTGGTGCATGGTCTTTAGTCCCACTACTGTTAAGGCAGAGGAAGGAGGATCTCTGTGAGTTCAAGGCCAGCCTGCTCTACAGAGTTAGTTCCAGGATAGTCAGGGCTGTTACACAGAGAATCCCTGTCTTGGAAAACCAAAAAATAAAGAACCCCCCACCTAAAAAAAAAAATCCAAGGTGGATACACCAGAAGAAAGACATAAGGCTGTATGTACTCAGGCCTCCACACCCAAGTACACAGTTCTCTGAGTTGCTTGATAGGGGAAAATCTGTCATAAATGTGCTAAAAAATCAAGAAATGACATATGAACAAGGAACACCATCCACAGGGATAAAAACAAAATGATTAAAAAGAATGAAGAAGACATTCAGGAGTTTAGTAGCCTGCAGAGCTCATAAAGAGGGTCCATCCAGACTTAAACAGGCAAAAGAAACAACAAGCTTGAAGAGAAGTAATTTGAATAGATAAAACTGCTGTAATCGTCTCTCTTTTATTTTATATGTATGGGTGTTTTAGCCTGCTGTGTCTGTGCACCTGTGCATGCAGTACCCGTTGGTACCAGAAGAGGGCAGAATATCCCCTGAAATTGGAGTTCATGGTTGTGAGTAACGGTAACTGAACCGGGGTCTTTTGCAAGAGCAACCAGTGCTTTTAACCCACAAGCGGTCTCTCCTGCTCCCAAAGAAGACACTTAAAATCAATCAGTGAGAAAAAACCAAGAATGAAGTATTTTTTTTTCCGAGACAGGGTTTCTCTGTAGCTTTGGAGCCTGTCCTGGAACTCACTCTGTAGACCAGGCTGGTCTTTGAACTCACAGTGATCTGCCTGCCTTTGCCTCTAAGTGCTGGGATTAATGGCATGGGCCACTAACACCCATCGAAAAGTATTAAGGATTATAAAGGACTTTCAGGACATCTTCCAGTTGACTAAGATCTCAATATGACAGTCATAAAGGATGAAAGACAAAAGTCATTTGCAGAAATGATAACAAGACTTCTGAATCTTAGGAAATAAATTAACACACAAATCTAAGAAACTCAAAGAACAGCTGGACGGTGGTGGCCCAAGCCTTTAATCCTAGTACTCAGGAGGCAGAGACAGGCAGATCTTGGTGAGTTTGAGGTCAGCCTGGTTTGCAGATTGAGTTTCAGGATAGCCAGGGCTGTTACACAGAGAAACCCTGCCTTTAAAAAGAAAGGAAGATATAAAGAGAGAGAGAGAGAGAGAGAGAGAGAGAGAGAGAGAGAGGAGAAATAAACTCAAAGAATTCCAAGTAGAATAAGCAACCAGCCACCTAATTCATGCTTGTACTCCTGGACCCAGGAGGCTGAGGCAGGAGAATAGTGAGGTCAAGGTCAGCCTGGGCTACGCAGAGAGGACCCTTTGACGATAACAGAGGAGGCAGCATACAAAGGCACCCTCTGATAGAAAGATCTAAAAGTCAAAGACAGTATTAAAGGCAGCAGGAGAGAAATGGTTGGCCTCATGTGCAGGGGCTTCCATGGGATTGCCAGATGCTTCCTTGATGGGGCCTTTGCGGGCCAGAGGGAATGGACAGATATATTGAGTGCTGAGAGAAGACACTGTCCGCCAAAGCCATGATGTCAGGTGAAACTGTCCTTCTAAGACAAACTAGGGATTTCACAGAAAAGGCCTGTACAGATGGCTCAGCAGTTAGGAGCACTTGTTCCCCTGGCAGAAGAACCAGGTGTGACTCCCAGCCCCAGCATGGTGGCTCGTGACCATTTGTGACACAGTCTTCTGTCCTCTGTCAATACCAGGCGAGCATGTGGTACTTACTCATACATTGCAGGCAAAACATCCAAACTCATAAAATAAAATAAATCTCCAAAGACTTTTTAAAGGCTTTCCTAAAAAAAAAAAAAAAAAAAAAAAAAAAAAAAGGCTGAGAGGGTTGTGTTTACTATTATTGGACCCATGCTCAAAAAAAAAAAAAAAAAGATGAAATGAGTCCTGGGACTAGGGAGATGGCTCATCAGTTAAGGGTGCTCTTGTGCAACCATGAAGACTGAGTTCAGACACCAGCATGAGCGTACAAAGCTGGTGTCTTGCCCATTCCTATAACCAGATCCGAGGGGGCTGGAACAGAAGGATCACTGGGGTTTGCTGGCTTCAAGCCTGATAGAGAAAAACATGAACCCCAGGTTCAGGAAAAGACCCTGTCTAAAAAGAAAAAGCAAAGAGTGATAAGAAGGACACCTGAAGCCAGGCAGTAACGGTGCACACCTTTAATCCCAGCACTCAGGAGGCAGAGGCCGGTGAATCTCTATGAGTTCGAGGCCAGCCTGGTCTACAAAGCTACAAAGAGAAACCCTGTCTCAAAAAAAAAAAGACATCTGATGCCTTCTTTGCCTTCTTCATGTCTAGGTATGTACAGGGACATGCAGTTCCTCCGCTACACACACACAACACAGACTCATACACACTGTGGTGGTCTTAATAGTAATGGCCCCCATAGATTCATATGTTTGAATACTTGATCCATAGGGAGTGGCATTATTAGGAGGTGTGGCCTGTTGGAGTAGGTATGGCCTTATTAGAAGAAGAGTGTTATCATGGGAGAGGGCTTTGAGGTCTCATATACTCAATCTATGGCCAGGATGGTACACAGTCTCCTTCTGCTGCCTGTGGAACACTTGGGAGCCAGAGGCAGGTGGATCTCTGTGAGTTCGAGACCAGGCTGGTCTACAGAGAAAGTTCCAGGACAACCAGACAACCAGAGCTATACAGTGAAACCCTGTCTTGAGAAACCAAAAACTTGGGCTGGAGAGATGGCTCAGTGGCTAAGAGCACTGACTGATCTTCCAGAGGTCCTGAGTTCAATTCTCAGCAACCACATGGTGGCTCATAACCATCCGTATTAAGATCTGGTGCTCTCTTCTGGCATGCAGGGATATATGCAGACAGAACACTGTATACATAATAAATAAATCTTTAAAAAGAAAGAAAAGAAAAACTAAAAAGCTGCAGTGGTCATGGTGCCTCTTCACAGCAATAGAAACCCTAAGACACACACTAATAGTCAATAAATATGTAAACACATCTTTGGGGAGAAAAAGGATGGCAAAAGTAGTCCTTCAATAGAGATAGGATAGGGCTACAGATATATAGCACCTGCCTGGTGTGCAGGACTCTCAGGGTTCAATTCCAGCGCCACATAAACTGGGTGTGGGTGTGGGAGCACATGCCTTCAATCCTATCACCTAAGAGCCTAAGGCAGGAGAATTATTAGTTTGGGGTCATCCTGGATTACACAAGCCCAGAAAGAATAACAATAGAAACGTGAAATCTATCTTCAATGTTCTGTAACATATACAGGTAAATCTGTGACATCGGGGAGGGGAAAAGACTAAAGCTTTGTCAGTGTCAAACAAAACACCACAAATTTAAAATGTTTTAGTAGCAACAATGGTAACTAGAAGTAAAACATCTATGAATATGAGCAAAAGTAAAATAGAAGGAATCAACATATCATCACAAATATCAATGAAATAAATGCAAAGAAAAATGATTGAGAAGAAAGGAGAGAGAAAGAAAGAGACAAGGTACAGACAGCGACCTTAGGAATGGCCTTTACGTCCTTCCCCATTAGTATTGACTTAACATGTAATCACGTTAAACTCTTCAGGAAAAATACACAGGTCAATGAACTAAAGACGGCTGGAGCTGGGTGTGGTAGCACACGCCTGTAATCCCAGCCAGAGGACTCAGAGTAAGGGACAACTAGGCTACCAGGCAAGACTCAAGACAGTCTCAGGTTGAAAGTGACTCAGCCCCTCTCTCTTCCCCCATCCCACACCATCCAGATGGCATTCTGGGGCACCAAGGAGCAAGCAAACAACAATTAATTATGGGTTTATCTGTTTTTGTTGTTTGATTTTTTGAGACAGGATCTCCTGTAACTCAGGGCTCAAACTCCCTGTATAGCTGAGGGTGAACCTAAACTATCACATTCCCTCTTTCGTAAATATGTTGCTGTGGAATAATCTTTTTGCACACTGTGAAGATGTGTCACTCGGATCGCTTTAATAGAAAGCTGAGTGGTCAATAGCTAGGCAGGATTTTCAGGGTAGAGAGGATGCTGGGAAGAAGAAGGGCAGAGAAGCCGAGAGCCACCAGGCGGAGATGGAAGGATCAGGAAAGCCGTGTGGGCCGCACAGAATAAAGTCAATAAAACCACAAGGCAGAAAGTCAATTAGTAGGAAGGGATTAATTTAAGTTATAAGATCTAGTTAGAAACAAGCCTAAGCTATTGGCTGAGTTTCATAATTAATAATAATTAATCTGGCAGGAGGAACAGAAAAATCTGCCTACATATGCTACTCACAAGAGACTCCCTTCGTATATTCGCATACAGGAACACACATGATGACAGTGGGGAACGATGGGAGAATATATCCTATGCAAACAGCAACCCTCCCAAAAAAGGGAGTGGCCTTATTTATAGCATAAAGAATAAGGTGTTTGCCACTAACCCTGGTGACGTACGTGGAGGAAAGGAAAGAACCCATTCCGCAAAGTTGACCTCTGACCGCCACACCCCCGCCACACACTAAATAAATAACTATGTTTTTAAAAACTAAAAATAATAATAAAAAGCATGATTTAAAAAAGATCACCGCCGGGCGTTGGTGGCGCACGCCTTTAATCCCAGCACTCGGGAGGCAGAGGCAGGCGGATCTCTGTGAGTTCGAGACCAGCCTGGACTACCAAGCGAGTTCCAGGACAGCCTTCAAAGCCACAGAGAAACCCTGTCTCGAAAAACCAAAAAAAAAAAAAAATCACCAAGGGGGCTAGAGAGATGGCTCAGTAGTTAAGAGCGCTGACTGTTCTTCCAGAGGTCCTGAGTTCAATTCCCAGCAACCACATGATGGCTCACAACCACCTTGAATGAGATCTGGTACCCTCCGCTGCTGGCCTGCAGGCAGAAGGCTGTACACACAATAAATAAATAAAAATATTTTTTAAAAACTTAAAAAAAAAGATCACCAAGAAGATATAACAACAATTGAAGTCAACTGTGACTCCATTGGGTGGAGAACTAACCCGCAACAAATTAACAGCTAGAAGTAGGCAAACCCACACCACCATACACAATGGTTCACACAGCAACACATGATGAACATCGCTCAGGATAGACCATGTGCTGCACAAAACAGATCTTAACAAAGAAAGTTGAAATTATTCAAAATATCTTTTTCAGTCACAACAGAAGAAAGCCAGAAAATGGAGAAAATCCACAGATGCAGGCAAAGTAAGTAACACCAATGCATTCAGGATGCAGGGACTGGGGATCCCAGGGCAAGCTGGTTAGCTACACTGTAGGTTCAAGGAGAGATCCTGCCTCAATACACACAGTGGAGAAAGGTCTAGAAAGACAACCAACGTCAACTTAGGGCCTCCACACGCTTTCCCATACAGGATCATGTGCCCCTGCGTACATAAATATGCCCTCACACATGTGAACAGACACTCAAAAAACAAAGAGAGAAAGAGACAAAGAGAGAGAGAGAAAGGAAGGAAGGAAGGAAGGAAGGAAGGAGTGCTTGCATAGCTCTTATCTATCATGTGCAAGGTCTCAGGCTCCATTCCCAGCACCAGAAAAAAAAAATAGAGAAGCCGGGCGTTGGTGGCGCACGCCTTTAATCCCAGCACTTGGGAGGCAGAGGCAGGCGGATCTACAAGAGCTAGTTCCAGGACAGCCTCTAAAGCCACAGAGAAACCCTGTCTCGAAAAACCAAAAAAAAAAAAAAAAAAATAGAGAAACAAAATCTTAAAACAACCTAACTGCACATACTGAAAAACTAGAAGAGCAAGAGTAGGCTGAGCCCAAGGCTAGGCTAGAAAAAGGAAGGAAGTAAGAAAGATCAGAACAGAGATAAAGACAAAGAATGGAAAAACAATTTCAAAAGAGAAACCAAGTCAAACTTGGTTTTCTGAAAAGCTCAAGAAAACTCACAAACTTTATCTAGGTTACCTTACAGAACAGAGAGAAGACTCAGTTACTGAAGTCAGAAATGAAAGAGGGGGTGGTATTGTTACAATTGGTGATGTGAATGAAAAGGATATAAGAAAATTCGATTATGTGCTAACAATTTGTACAACCTAAAAAAAAAGAACCCTCATAAATAATCTGGAAAAAAAGGAAATGAATAAGGACATTGAATCAATAATTCCAAACTTTCCACCAAGGCTAAAGTACAGGTGGCTTTGCTGACGAATTCTACCAAACTTTTAAAGGAGAGTTAATAACTATCTATGAAACACACCTGCACACACCTGCACACACACACACACACACACACACACACACACCACCACCACCACCACCACCACCACCACCACCACCACCACCACCACCACCAATGAGGAAAAAACCACACTCACTTGCCATGGATGAGCACACCCAAGGTATCTGAGCCCCACCTAGCCTTGTCTGGCAGACGCCATCCCGGGCATTTCCCTTGTGTGGAGTGAGTGTGTGGGTACATTTCCTGAGCACAGGTGTGGATGTTACACACTACAGATCTCTAGTGCTGCCCAGGCACCCTGTGTTGGATGTGGAAGGAAGAGAAGCTTACCTGAGCCAAGCCAGCATTCTCCTCTGGCCTGGAAGGGGTGATCTTAGGATCAGGCTCCTCACCTACGCCACTATCTTCCTCTTCCTGGGGGGTGTCTTGTGGGACCTGGCTGTCCACAGCTGTCACAGGGTGTAGCCCCAGTGTGGCAGGGCCTGGGGAGCCCTCACTGCCCTCTTCACAGGGGAAGTTCTCACTGGCCACACTGGACGATGGACTGTCAATCCCACTGTCCCTGTTGGGGATCTTCATGGCACCACTTGGCTCCCCCACGGAGCTGTCCCCCGCTGAAGCTGAGCTGCCAGGAGCCCCTGGGTGGGCACCTGGCCCAATGGGAAGTGCTTGAAGCTTCCCCAGTGGAGAGCTTCTGGGCCCAGCACCAAGACGAGCAATGGTTTCTTCGCGAGTTGAGGAGCTTCTACCCAATTCCATCTTCACAGCCGGACTCACTGGGCTCTGCTAGGAGGCTGGTCAGGAACTTCCTGTTGGGGAGAAAGATGCCTGATCAGTACATTCACCGAAAGCAACCCCCAGAGAGTCAACCTCAGTCAGACAACTGGGCAGGCTGGGGCTGTGTGGGACACCCCATTGGCTTCAGTTGGGTCCTATCCAGACAGGCTTTGAGAGAATAGCAAAGGGAACATGTTTTATATGAAAAGTAAGGCTTTTATCTACATAAAAAAAGTAATCCTGGGCCTGAGGAGTCTGTGAGTAAAGTGCTTGCTGCCATGCAAACATGAGGATCTGATTTCAGACATATAGACCCAGCATCAAAAGTTAGGTGTGGTGACTGCCTGTAATTCCTGTGCTAGGTAGGGGTGGGGGCTGTGAGTTCTAGTGAGAAACCCTGCTTCAAAAAACAAAAGAAAACACTGATGTGACCTCTCTCTCTCTCTCTCTCTCTCTCTCTCTCTCTCTCTCTCTCTCTCTCTCTCTCTGTCTCACACACACACACACATGCACGCACGCACTCACGCACTCACGAATGCACACGGATGTACCCCACCCCATCCACACAGAAGTAATCCTGTGGAATGCTGTATGACCTTCCTAGGATGAGGCTACTGGCTGTTTAATAAATTTCAAATATATTCGTGAAACAGTGACACACCCAGCAGAAGGGTGGCGGCTTTCATTAATAACACACTACTGTGTCCACACAGCTTTTTAAACCCTGACATTCTTAGGAGATGAATCCAATGGCCTGGGCACTACAGGTAGTTCACATGACACTTGCACACTACACAGGAGACAGAGTCAAGTGTCAATTCTCAGAGCTCAAGGAATTCATCAACAGCTCTGAGGAGAGTCAAAGGTGAGACTTGACTATAGGGAGATAAACCATCTCTGAAATCATCCCTGTGACGCTAAAGGGAAGCTTCGGACGACAAGGGGGCTGCAGACAACAGTCACTTACCTGTTACCCAATGCTGTTGCCCAATGAGGCTGACAGAGATTGACGGGCAGGCGCCTGCTTCCTCCTGGGCTCTGGATTGCCCAACGGAGACTACAACTGGCTATTGAAAATCTCTTGCCCAGACCATTGTAAGTGGAGCTGTTTAGAAAGTACTGGAAAAACACAAAAGAGAATGATGCTTGGAAGAGTCAAAGCCCAGCTCTAAAGGAAGGAGCTAAAGAAACACACCTTAGGCCCCACCCACCATAGCCAACCCAGGGCAGAACCCAGGCTTCCTCGGGGCAGATGGAAGGCACAGAAAGAAAGGCTGGCTCACTGTGGGTTTCTAAGACCACACAAGTGACCCAAGAAGACCAGGACGGTACCAGGGTCGGTGCCCATGCGTGAGCAGTGCCCTGGAGCCAGGGATCAGCTGGAATGTGTAGGCAACGCCCAGGTTTAGGAGAGCCGGACACATCATAGTCCTGTCTAGCACTGTCACTCAGATGTCACTCAGACACAACTCACTGGAGAGTCCCCACACAGCAGCCGTCTTAACCACTCACACAAAGCAGCTCTGCTATTCACACAGTAGCTCGTACAGCCACGCTCTACTAGACACGGCGGCCCCACACACAGTCAACGTACTCACACTGTTCCTACACTGGATACGCGGTAGCTCGATGCACATGCTGCCTCTCCCTCCCTCCCTCACTCTCAGATAGTCCCTGGCCCGCAGCTTCTTTCCTCACTTCCTTCCCCGGAGAGCAGGGTTGGAACCATTGGTGCAGATGCCAGCCTCACACCCCTGTGCGCACAGGGAGAAAATGTCTGTCCTTGTCCTGGAGCTACACCTGACTGCCTTGCCTCCACACAGGCACAGAGTCAGTGGCTTCCCCTGCCTCTGAGCCAACGGACAGAGCTCCTCCCACCCACGTAGGCTCTCACCATCCTGTGTCTAAACTACCTTGGGGTGGACTCTTCAGTAAGTGACTCCAAAGTCGCTCCAGGAAGAGTTTTCATTGGTTAGCGTCACTGTCACATCCTTTTTTTTTTTTCTTTAAAGGAAATAGCTTTATTACTCTGGTTACTCTATAACACTGCCTCAAGGCCAGTGAGTCTTAGGTGTCCAAACATCTGTAGTAGCTAGACTGTAAGCGAATTTACCTGTCAAATTCAGCCAGAAAAACGTTTGTTGAGCATGCTCCAAGATGGTAGCAAGCTAAACAGTAACTAGAAGTCACGCTACATTCTTAGCAGCCTCGCTGGACAGAAACGTTAGACTTCCAAACAGAAAATACATGTTTTGCTGCATTCTTGTCATAGTATGGGAGATAAACTCCAAGTTTCCAGAAGGCAGACATGACACAGCAATGAAAAGCTCTGTAAGGAATGTGAGTTGAGTTCAGCTCGGTGTGGTCAGAGGCTGCGATCTGGCAGAGTAGAGGCTGGCTCGGCCCCACTGAAGGGGGAGCTGAAGGTCAAGACATGTGTTTGTGTTTGCGTGCATGCCAGAAGTCAGCACTGAGTGTCGTACTTAGTTACTCTCCATCTTATTTAGATGGCCTCTCACTAAACCCGAGCTCAGTTTGGCTACACTGGGGTTCTTCTTTCTCTGTCTACTCAGCACTGGGGTTATAGGAACTGGCTATCATGCATGCCTAGATTTTCTTTGTGGGTGCTGTGGACCTGAACTCAGATTGTCACATTGTACAGCAAGCACCTTACCCACTGAGCCATCTTCCCACCTCATCTTTGTTTCTGAGACAGGGTCACATGTAGTTCAGGCTGGGGACAAACCTGCCAAGGATCCAAGACTGGCCTTTAACCCTTGATGCTCTCTGCTTCTATCTCCCAAATACTGTCCAGCTCAGACTGGATTTATTTTTAGTGGAGTCAACATCAAATGGAGATGAAAATGCCCATTACAAGTGGTGTGCTGTCTGTAACTGTCTACCATACAAAGGAAAGTTTACGCCACACTTGAGACAGCAGAGCCCCACAAGCCTTGAGACCTGGGAACCAGTGGGTGAGACCTCTTGCTGTCTCGGATGACTGCCTAAGGACTGTTGTGATCCAGGGAGGAGGAAAGAGAGCCCAGTGGGCGCGCAGAGGTGAGAAGATGTCCAGTTGGCTACAAAGTCTGACTGAGAGCTTCACAGAAAAAGACCCAGAGATCTGCAGAGATGCTCCCAAGGGCTGTTGGGTACACGTGCGAAGACACTTCAGAAGCATGGACAAAGAACAGCCCTACAGAGAACCACGGGGAGCATTTGCAACACCTACACAGGGCAAGGTTCCTGTGACCACCGTCCAACCTGAAAACTGCAGATCTGCAGGGTGCCAGGTTCAGTGCTCAGGAGGGTCTTGCCTGGGTGGTGGGAGATCAATTACTGACCTTCCAGTGGCCCGTCTCTGCCATCCCACTTAACAAACTTTACAGGAAGACCAAACTATCTACAATTTAATTTTATACTTGAAGAAAACTCTATAATATCTATCATCTAGCATGGTAAAAAAAATCAAACAAAAAACGCAAACAATAACAACAAACAAACAAAAAAGCCACAATGCCTGGCATCTTCTTAAAAATTGCCAGGCAGGGCTGGGGGTGTAGCCCAGTTGGTAGAGGGCTTACATAGTATATGCATGACCTGAGTTCAGTCCCCAGCTCTGCTAAACTGGATGTGGTGATATACCCCGTAATCACTCAGATGAAAAGGCAGGAGGGCCAGAAGTTCAAGGTCATCCTTGGCCATGTGGGAGGGCAGAGACTACATAGACCTTGTGTGGGGGGGAATCCCTCCTCCCAAATACCAGATACACATATAACCAGTCATGATGGAAAAAACAAACCAAAAGCCCTATCAGTTGAAACTGACTCATAACTGAGGAGGATGTTGGAAACATCAGGAAAGAACAGTAAAAACGCATTAGGACTGTATCTAAGGATAATGACAGAATAGCTGTAGGCAAGCCACTCTGTGTCCTTGCTTAGCTTCTCCTTGGCTTAACTTAGTAGCTTCACACTGAAAGCCCACCAAGGCTGGGCGACAATGGCGCGTGCCTTTAGTCCCAGCACTCGGGAGGCAGAGGCAGGCAGATAGATCTCTGAGGTCAAGGCCAGCCTGGTCTACAGAGTGAGTTCCAGGGTAACACAGAGAGACCCTGTCTTGAGGGGAAAAAACAGAAAAGAAGATCCACGAAATCTATCAAGTAGCAAGCTCCAGGTGCCTCTAGCCTGCTCAGCCCACATTGGATAACCAGCACCCAGCATGATTAATGTCACCTTACGACCTAGAGGAACCTGGGAGTGATCAGTCTAGCAGCTGCTGCTGTGGCTAAGAATCCACCATCTGCTGAGAATACAGTGGGTGTCCCAACCCTTGGAGTTGGGGGTGGTATTCGTGGGACCTGGGGGGGGCAGTATGAGGGCAAACGGAGTGAAGAAGACAACACAGTATCTTTTTTTGTTTTTGTTTTTTTGAGACAGGGTCTTGCTATCGTCCACACTGACTTCAAACTCAGCATCCTCCTGCCTCTGTCTCCCCAGGGCTGTGACTGCAGGCATAAGTCACCATACTCAGAGGGAACCGTTTCTTTTTATTTGAACCACGCCGGGGTGGGGGGGGGGGTTGGAAGAGCTCTGAGAATTCACAGCAAGATGTCAACATCTCAGAACACCGGAGTTTACTCCTGGCCGGGTGCAGCACCGGGAGTGTGACTTTCAAAGGTGGGAGCCATGCAGAGAGCGCCCACCAACCTGTTGTTGAAGGCTCAGTGCACAGCCTTGGTTCTCTGTGCCACTGCCCTCTTCTCCCCGTCTTCTCAAACAAGATCAAGGCCCAACTGTACATCCTGTCACCTAGGTCTGGGGCTAGGGATAGTGAATGGTAGCACAGCATGGAGGACCATCCTGGTGACCCTGGTATTATTACTACAGTTTCAGCAAATGACTTTCTCATGGGCTACATTTCTAGGCCATAGACACCTCCCTGGATGACAGATCCAGAGATGGGGGAAGCAGAAGGGGAAAGACAGAATTCCCTGCATATCCAGGAACATCAAGCTCCAGAGGCTCCAGCAGCCTGGTCTCATAGGAAGACGTGCAGACACCCTCTGCTCTCACCCCAAGCTAGAATCCAAGGCCTTCTGTGCGCTAGCTCATCATTTACTTCTGTGGTATATCTCCAGCCTATTCATCCATCTTCAAGGCAGTGTGGCCCTTGTTAGCCCGGGGGGCTCACATGGAGCAAGGTCCTGCTTATATGCCTTATTTCCTAGAAAACCAGGGCCATTCCCAGCACTCGGGAGGCAGAGGCAGGCGGATCACTGTGAGTTCGAGACCAGCCTGGTCTACCAAGTGAGTTCCAGGACAGCCTCCAAAGCCACAGGGAAACCCTGTCTCGAAAAACCAAAAACAAAAAAAAAAAACAAAAAACCAGGGCCACACTCAGCCCTGGGTTCCTCAGAAGGCCCACAGCATGGTCCTACACAGATTCCTGAAAGCATGGGACAGCATACAGCCCCACACCCTGATTAGCCATTTTGTTCATTTTTGGACGTCCTAATAGGCAATGTAGCATATGCATCTGATAGATTACTGTCACCCAAAACAACTTTAGGACACTGTAACAAGCGGAGGCCTCTAGCCCATTCAGCAATGGCAGGACCAGGGAGTCTAAGTACTAAGCACAGCGATAATTTTGGCCTAAAGCTAGGTTGACAGAAAATCACAGGTTGCCAATTCAGGAATGCATGAGGGTTGGCCACCAGGGCTACAGAACATCAAGGACGGAGCTGCTTATTGCATGAGGTGGCTGTGATTGGGAAGTCAAATCTGGGAACTTTTTCATCTGATTTTTTTTTTTGAGACAGGGTCTTACCATGCAGCTTGTCTGGAACTTGTTATAAACAGCAAGCTGGCCTTGAGATCACAGAGATCTGCCTATCTCTGCTTCTTGAAGGCTGGGATCAAAGGTATGCACTGCCAGGCCTGACTCATTTAATCTCAAAATAAAATCACTCTTATATCTACTTAGATATTTGTTTGTGTGTGTGAGTAAGAGCCATAGCTACCATGTGGCAGTCAGAGGACAACTTTGTGGAGTCAATTCTCTCCTTCCCCATGCCGGCTCCAGGGTTACAAGACTGACTCAACCTGTCAGTCTTG